AGATAGGAACTGGAAACACAGGGAATCCAGGGCAGATGATCCCTTCAGGACCAGTGGTGTGAGTGGCAATACTGGGAGGGGAGAGGGAGTGTGGGCTGGAAAGAGGGAATCGATTACAAGGATCTACACGTGACCTCCTCCCTTGGGGACAGACAACAGAAAAGTGGGTGAAGGGAGACGTCGGGAGGGGGAAAAATGAGGACCTGATGCCGGGGGGCTTAAGTGGAGAGCAAATGTTTTGAGGATGAGGGCAATGAATGTACAAATGTGCTTCACACAATTGATGTATATATGGATTGTGATGAGTTGTATGAGCCCAATAAAATGATTAAAAAAAATCTGCATTCCCAATAGGGGAGCATTAGAATGCGTGTCACCAGGCTGTCACTTGTCTCAATTCCTGAAACTACACATCTGGGAGACTCTAGCAATTTAATTTCTCCTTTGGTAAAACACAAACACTAAGTTCTTAAGAAACAGGACAAGCTTGCCTAGGGCCCCAGCTCCGGGTTTCAGTTCCTCCCTAGGAGGGTCTTTCTTATGAGACATCAATGATCCTTTCTATGGAGGGCCCTAGCACACCTTTGGGGTTTTATGGGCGAAAGTCTATTCTGCCCTTAGAGTGCCAAGGCAGCCATAGGTACTGAATACATGAACAAGTCTGTTGCATTCCAATAAAACTTTATTCATGAACATGGAAATTTGAATTTCACAAAACTTTATATCATGATGTTATATTTATTCCAACCACTTAGAATTTAAAAACTAGGCTTAGCTACTGGGCAGAACAATAAGAGGACATGGGTTCTTTTTTGCTAATCCCTGATTTGAAAGACTTCTGCCCACCACCTATAGGATCACTCGTTTAAGTGTGGGAAAATCCTCACTGAATCCCTACTGTGAGAGACAAGTGCAGAAAACACATGGAAGCCATGTCAGACTTCCCCTGGCAACAAAAGGGAGGCGGCAGAATTCAAGTCCACATCTGCTTAAAGATTCCTATGAAGCAGAGACCACACATACTCTGACCCTCTACTCTCCTTGGCCTTGTTCTGATACCAGCTGTCCCCTCCTTCGGCTCTCAACCTCTCTGGTAGGTTCCATACTCACAAAGAACTCAGAGATGAACGTCATGATTATGTGGTTTATGGGGAAGCTCCCAGGTTTCAAAATGATTAAGGATACAGTTCTTTTGTCAACAGTGGCGCTTCTCAGCCAAGCTGGCACCAATTTCTCTCTGGTTCTGTCTGTGATGTGATTCCTTGGGGGGGGGGGGGGGGGGGGGGGGGACACCCCCCCCCCCAAGCATTACAGAGCTCCTCGGAATACTGAGAAATGCCCAGCAAGTCCCCCAGTCTGCTGCCCAAGGTTCTCCATTTACTTGTTCACTGAGCTGGGGAGCCTGTTCCTCTGCCGTCCCTCTCCACAGATCTGACTCGCTTCACTCCTGGTTTTCCTTCTTGCAGGCCATGGTTTTCGCTGTTCCTGTTTGAGAGATGCCTCACTTTTATACCGTGGCTTAGCAAAACTGACCAATCCATGAATTGGAGTCCTCTACACCTGTCAATAGAAGAGTCATGCCAAGAAATTCCACTCGCTGTCAGAGGTTGCAGCAGATACATCTGCAATTATATGTGCATTGTAAAATATAAGAAAATTAAACTGATAAATCGGCTTATCATTTCACTTCTAAGCACAACCTTAGGGTAAGCCTCAATTTCCACCTGCTTCTTGTAGCACAAGCATCTTGCAGGACAAGCATCTTGCTTCATGGAGTATGGGTCCACAGGTAAAAATGCATTTCTTGTTATAATATGGCCCCCAGACATGTCAACATTTTTCTGATATTCAACTGAATAAACAGTAATCTGTTCTAATGTTGACGGGTCGACGGATTCTGTTAGATTTACTGAGTGGCACAATGTTGGTTTCCAATGGGTCACAATGGTAGTATACTTTGCGGAAAATCTTAAGACATTTTCCAATGATAATTTTAATTATAAAAATTTTCTTATCATGGAGTAACTTTCAAACCAGGCTTAGTGGAGTTATAGTAACCTTTATTTAAAACACAAAACAAAATCTATGGACCGTTAGCCTATGAGCACATTATTTAATGTTAGTAAGACGGCAGCACATAGGAGAGATTCAAATTCAGCAAAACATGTTGTAAACAACAGGTGTCCGAGTAGTCAGTCCTCTACACAAAAAGTAACCTATGAGGCCAGAGGACAGTTCCACAGAATTGGCACATCATGTTTCCAAGTGGGAACACGAAGTCCCATTCCCACTTCCAATAACACCCAACACCCTTGTAGGAAGCTTGGCAGAAACATTCTCACCAAAGCTCACAGTCCGGCGAGCTGAGTGGATGGGGTGTGGAGATGAACATGCAGTCTTCCGTGCGTTTCCAAGCATCTGTTAGGCAGCCAGCAGTGCCTGGAGTACCACGGCATCTGCTCTGCTGGGAGACAGCCCCAAAGAACACTCAGGGCTGGGAAGAGGTGGAGGAGTGGAACAGCACGCATGGCCATCAGGCTGATTCTGACTCACAGTGACCCTATAGAGGGCTCCTGAGGCTGTTTATTTTTGTGGGAGTAAATAGATTTATCTTTCTCCTGTGGAGTGGGTGGTGGGTATGAACAGCTGATCTTGCTGTTAGGAGCCCAACACTTACCTGAGAGTATCCCAGGGCACAGCAAATGAAAATACTGCCCCACAAGGTTCCCAAAGCTATAAATCTTTCTGGCAGCAGACTGCCAAATGTTTTTCCTGTAAGAGTGGCTGGTGGGTTTGAATCAACGGATTTTTTGGTTAGCAGCTAAGCACTTTAATCACCGTGCCACAAAAAAACAAGCAAACAAGAAAACCCCAGACTCAAGGCCATCCAGTCAATTCTGACCAATAGCCACTCTATACAACAGAGTAGAACTCCCACTGCAGATTTTGGAAGCTATAAATCTTTATAGCCTCATCTTTCTCCCAAGAAGCAACTGGTGGATTTGAATTGTTGACCTCGTGGTTAGCAGCCCCACGCATGAGCCACTGTGCCACCACAGCTCCTTCTATCCCTGATACACTTACCCACAAAGAGAGAGAGATTTTTAATTTAAAACTCCTGTGTTTACTCATGGAGAAACAGGTGACAGAATACTTTTGTAGCTTTTTCAGCACAACAATTACAATTGCCTTAAAGAGCCAACGGGGAGAGCTCGGAGACCTCAAAGACATGGGAGAAGCCGCTGTTCCCCGTGCTTGGATCAATCAGTTACCACCTCTCAGGTGGGAAAAACAGATGTGATTAACTTCTTTTCTAGGGGAGGGGTTTTTCCGGTTCATGGTCTGACTATATAGATAGAGGCTTCTTTCACCAGGGTCAGAAGAGACTGAAAGAAGATCAGGGGATGTCTTGAGGAGTTAAGAATTCGAGAGTACTGGCGGGTTCATAGAACCACAAGCCGCCAGATGCAAAGGAGGGAGTGAGTCTAGGTTCCCATTCCCAGCTGGGTAAATCTGAGGTACTTGGATGCCACAGACACCCACCCCTCCCTCTCAGAGGCAGGGCAGGGACTGAGACCATGGAAGCTTATACCTCCCTGGACTTTTCCACACTCATTAAGAGCCAATACTAAACTACACCAGACCATGGGGACCACTTTGGGCAAAGCAGTTAATCTCTTATCTGCAGAATGAGTCACAAGGCAATAGTGTGGTCAATGATGAGGTTTCCATCTGCTTTTGGCTTGTCTCGGTGCTAAAGTCCAGTGCTACATAAAACAGACAGGTGTTGACGTAAGATCGGCAGAATAACACAGCGGTGTCTCTGAGCCTCAGCTGTCAGGGTCCAGCCGGACCCGTTTCCCGTGCGTGATTTTGTCTTCCAGATGGCAGATCCCTTCCTTGGTGATGTCTCGCTCGCTCTCCTCTGCGGCTTCCACAGGGAAGTCCTGGTCTGTGGCCACTACCTGTCGGACCGTCATGTTAACCCGCGCCGTTTTCAGGTAGCTGGCACACAGCTGCTGGTCCTCCACAGAACAGGGCTCGACCACTGTGTCTCTCGGGAGGGCAGCGGGGAGCGGGGTCCCCAGGCAGAGAGGCAGGTTGCCCTCCTGAGCACTGGGAAGAACCCGAGGGACTGCGTGGTTGAGCAGGCGGCTGGAACCAGACATCACCATGATGTCACCGCTGTGCATAAACATGGCTGTAGGGGCTTCATCTCTTCTGAGGCCACCCAGGAGAAAGATGGCAGACTGTCCAAAGCTACAAACAAAGTATTCAAAACAAATAGCAGTAAGGTTGGGTGTCTAACCGGGGCAGTAAAAACCACACCAGCTGCATGATTTTCTCATTTCAGTCCCGTGTGCATTGCTCCCAAGTCCTCCTTTATCCACCATGCCAAGACCCTTTTGCTCGGGGTTGCATATGAATGACCAGCCGGTGATCAGCCACTCAAATCCTATGTGGCACACATAGCAATGAAAAGTTGAAAACCAACAGTCCCCACATCTTTGATGCACCTTTAAGATCAGTCTTCAGTATAGAATGATTGGAAAAGTTATCATTCGTGTTCCCTTTAAAGCAAAGGAGTCACCGAAGACTCCATGATGCTCCTTCCACGGTGAGTGAGGGGCAGGTAGTTCTGTGAACAGATTCACAGGACTGTACAGAGCCACGGCGACCCTCCACTGTCCAGTCCATGGAGCCCGGACGCCTCTCATCACAAAAGGCAGACTTTAGAACCTTGGACAGAAATCTTAACTAAAATCTGAGCATTTCTTTTAAAGAACAAGGTAAATTTTATGTAGATTACTGTTAAGATGCTCAGAAGTAGAAGATTTCAGGGTCCATTTTTAATACCTAAATCCCTGGACTTACCTGAACGACAGGAGGGGTTTGGAGAGGTCGAGCTCCGACCTGTCCACGTGGATGCCCAGGGTGGAGTCTAAACGGTAGTAGTTCAGGATGCCGGCCTCAGCCTGGAAGCCCTGAAACCCACAGGCAGCGGCCACTTGCTCTGAGAGGAAAGCCAGGTCAGAAGGGAAAGGTGTATAATGATCTGCTGAGTATTTCTTTGGCAAAAGTAGGGAAAATAAGAAAAATAAACAATGATCTCAGGAACATAGAAAACTATGGCAGAAGATTTCTATCTTATTATCATCTAACTGACATGTGATATGAAAATCCGATAAAGAAAAATCTACATCCTAAAACCCACTTGTGGAGTTACATAATCTGTTGTCAGTTTGAGACTGAAGAGTAAAGGGGTGGAGTTTAGCCTGTCAATGAGGTCACAGCTTGATGACCTCATTTGGAGGTGCTAAGGAGATAAATAGCTTGCTGCAGGCGGGACACAGACACACTCCTTGTGAGGCATTCCTGTTGAGGAGACACATGGAGCTATGCTAGAGCCCTGGAGCTGAAGGAGCCACGTGGAGATCCCTGCCAGAGTGGAGATGCTTCCACTGCCACTGGATCCACAAGACTTTCTACCCACTGGTCTGTGATCTTCCTGCATTCCGCATCATTGCCTATGTTCCATGAGTCTGAAGAGGAATTTATTGATCGGTATTGGATATATGGGCTAATATTGGACTTACAGACTTGAGCTGGACTGGGCAGGGATGTTTTCCTCAATATCCAATTGCTCTTGTATATAAAACTCTTCTTATACACATGAGTCTCCCTGGATTTGTTTCTCTAGCCAACCCTAACACACCACTCAAGAGAAAAGCTCTGAGGACTTCTGGTGAAGTTGTGTTTTTCCAGTTATTTAGCGTGACTGTAAGAGAAATGTATTCTCTCCTGGTCCCTTGCTGGTGTTAGGTGCCAGAGTTCGATCCAGCTCCCAGGGAGCCCATGAATCACCGAAGGGACACTGCCTGGTCCTATGCTACCCTCGCCATTGTTCTTGTGTTTGATTCTACTGTGTGCAGCTGCGTGTCAATCCACCCCGTTGAGGGCCTCCTGTTTTTTCGGCGGATCCTTTACTTCTCAAGAGGCCAACCTCGCTCTTCCCCGCCCTCTGCCCCCTCAGTGGCAGCTGCTGGGTTTCTGCTGTGGAAGCTGGTTAGCCCCATCAGTCACTGGCTTCTCTAACAAGACTGTGTAGCCTCATCCTGTGAACACTCTGGGACACGTGTCCCGAGTGTCTGCAACAGAATTTTCCACAGTTCAAAGTTGTCTCCGTGCGTTCATTTTAAACCCACCTGTGCTTTCGCCTTTTACCTTCGGAGGCACATGGGAAAGGCGGCTCCTCAGATCTTGTTCGGAAGTCTCACTGGCCAGATATCTGAGTTCATCTCTTACAAGTTCTGCCTTCCACTAAACATCGGAACATAATTCTAACAAATTCTCTGCCATTGCATAACCAAGCACGGCCCTTCCTCCATGCCTGATCGCATGCTCATTTGATTAAGGCAGAGCAGAAACACACCTACCCCTCTTTCCAGCAGCCTTCTGCTGCTGGTCTATATATGGTCTCGAGGACAACAGGGACTTTCTCCACAAGTCTCCTCCCTTCCTTCTGAGCCCCACCAGAATCGCCTTTAATGTCCAAGTTCTACCCATAGTCTCTTCAAGGCCAATCTAGGCTTCTAGCGCTAGGCATCTTGAAACTCTTCCAGCTTCTTCCTATTATCCACTTCCAAAGTGGCTTCCACATTTCAGGCATAAACTTGAGTACTCCACTTTGCTGGTACTAGCCTCTGGCTTAGTTCTCTATCGCTGTCAGAAATGTCCGAAGTGGGGGATTTAAGTAACAGGGCTGTATCTCCTCACAGTCAGGCCAAGGCTCTCTGGATGCTTGCTCTGGGGGAAGTGCTTATCCTCTTGAGCTTCTGCTCTTGGAGATCTTCATGGGGGGGTTGGTATCTCTCTTCCTCCAGCTAATTCTCTCCCTTGCTTGTTGGATCTCCTTTACATCCCCACAGAGGTAAGGCCCAACACAGACCTCACACCAAGCCTGTCTCATCGACATGAGGAAGACAGCCCATTCCCAATGGGGTTGAGAAGCACAGACATAACCCAGTGCCCAGGCGCTCATTCAGACCCAGCCACCCTACAGGACAGGGTAACTGCACTGATGGGTTTCAGAGACTGTAACTCTTTATAGGAGCAGAAAGCTTCATCTTTCTCCCATCGAGCGGCTAGTGGTTTCAACTGCTGATCTTGAGGTTAGCATCCCCAGGGCACATACATAAAAACAAGAGAATTACCGAGGAAATGTGAATACCTTACTGTCCCAGTTATAATGGTAACCTAAGGTCACCCAGCGCAGTTTCTCTAGCAAGCTTCGAGGTCTCCGCTTAGTCACTTCCTTACACCTGCAAAGATGGGTGACAAAAGAAGACTCATGATATACACTGCTAGCCAAGCTATGAGAGGGGAAATTAGAACAAATTAAAAAACACGAGTTAGCACAGAATACAGTAATAGCAACAACAGTACATCAGTGTGTCTAATTTCTAGGTTGTGGCTCTAAACACATTCCTGAATGGGATCCCGTGCCCGGCATCTAACGACACAAGAAGGGCAGCAGTGATGTCTTCCTTGTCTGTGGGAACGGGGACTGAGAGTATTAGGGGTGACTGGAGATGTGGCTAACAGAACATGTTCCATTTGGCCTGCTAACGTGGGGTGTGGCTATTCATAGCTACGGCTGTGTGTCATGATGACGGCCTTGCAGAATTGCAAATCGAGGAAAAAAAGAGTAAGGCAACACATGGTTCACAATAAAAAATAACCGGGTTACCATGAGTTCTTTAACCTGGCCACACAGCCTCGATAATTTAAGTCTGTCTAACAAAGAAGAAACTACTGTCGCTGATGTCAGATTTCCCCTTGTTCAAGCCACAGGAGGTTTCTGTAAAATGGAGGGACCGTTTCTGCAGTTATATCATCTCTGCTAAAACCTCTGGGACTACCAACTCATTTTCTACAGAGGAAGTCTTCCAGGTTCATCACTACCTGTGAAACAGCATGAGGATGCCAGGTCTAACCTTATTTTGTTATTGAGACTATACAGAGCAAAGCATATAATCACCTATCCGTTTCTTTGACATGATTACATTCATTGAATTGAGCAACCATTCTTAACCTCTTTTCTGGGTTGCCCACCCTTTTTAATACACATTCATTAATAAAACCCGCTAGGGTTCCCATCTGATTTCTCAAGTTTTGTTGTCGATCTCATTCAATACAAACAGTTCTTAAAAGAACATAATGCTCAGTGCAGACTTTAGTTCTGGTCCCACGGCAAAGGAAGGAATTAACCACATATTCCGTAACCTGCTCCTGTTCCAGATCTGCCTTCTGCCCCTGGTGTTCCACGTGAAGAGAGAACTATTGCTTTGCCTTGGAGGGCTGCGTGGAAGCTGAAGCTTCCAGGCATCATGCAATGAACTAGGAGTAGAAGAGAGGCCCTAAATAAACTGGGCCAATCAACTGGGTTATCCCAGGGAACTGTGACCCTAAACCTTCATACCAAGGAACCAAAACCCAAGCATGAAGTTTGGTTGTACCTAAGCAGGCTCAGCAGCTTTTTTCCCCTTCATAATCGTTTGGTCACCAAACGCTGTTGAAATGTCTTTAGAATTCTTTTCCTCAGGCCTTCAGCATCTTTTGCACAGACAATTAAGCAAACTGCTTAATGGTGCTTTTCGCAATCCAATTTCACAAGAATTTATCTTTCTAAAGTGAACAATCTTACAAGATTTTTTGTCAGGATATTATGGTAAATAATCAGAATCTCAGAGGTAGTTTTTTGGGGCCCCTCCCTTTCTAACTTCAGTTGGAAATTGATCAAAGATACAATCAAAATGCATCGATAATTATTGGTGATTGGAATGTAAAAGGTGGAAACAAGAAGGAAGGAACAGCAGTTGGGAAATATGGTCTTAAGGATAGAAATGAAGTAGAATCTTGCAAAACTAGTCACTTGTTCACCGCAAATATCTTTTTTTCAAAACCTAAGAGGTGACTATACATATGGACTTTTCCAGATGGAATACAGAAATCAAATTGATTACATCAGTGGGAACACACAATGGAGAAGCTCATTATCAGCAGCTAAAACTAGGCCAGGGGCTGACTGTGGAACAGACCGTCAATTGTTCATACATAATTTCAAGATAAAGCCGAAGAAAATTAAAACAAACCCAGGAGAGCCACACTGTAACCTTGAGTCCACCCCACCCGAATTTCAAAACCAGACTTGACACACTGAACGCTAACGAGAGGAGACCTGATGAGCTGTGGGAGGACGCCAAGCCCATCACGCATGAAGACAGCAAAAGGGCACTGGAAAGCAGAAAAGACTGGTCCCCACTGGTTGCTTTGAAAAGCCACCCTGGCATCGTTCCCGGTTCTACTCACTGCAGCCACATCCGCACGTCCATCATGGATTCCAGCAGTCTCTCGCCAGAGTCCCTGGACTCGCACCTTCTTTGTAATGTGCTGCATCAGATCACGGGCGAGCCCAGAGACCACCACCGAGGACTTAAAGAAGGTGGTTGTGGAGGAGGTGGAGACTGGAAGAGGTACCCCCGGCAACAGGAAGGCTAACGAGGAAAATGGGGAACAGGAGGCTGACACAGAGGTAGACGAGAAGAGGAAGAAGGGGGGGAGGAAGAGTATGGAGGGGAAGGTGATGGTGAAGAAGGTGAAGATGAGGAGGCAGAGGCAGCTACAGGCAGCTGAAGATGATGAGGATGACGATGTTGATATCAAGAAGCAGAAGGCCCTCGAAGATGACTAGACAACAAAAAGTTCAACTTAAAACAAAATCTCCCAAACAAAAAGGCCACCACGGCCTATTCCAACCCCTTCTACACGTGGTCCCCTTCGAGTAGAGTCCTGCCCGTCCCCTCCGACGACACAAGCAAAACAAACCCAAACTTCCAAGACCCTGCTTTTTCTTTTAAAAGTACTTTACAACGGAAACGTTGCTTGCATTTAAAATTTACATCTTATATTTTTGTACATATTGTTGGGGCTCAGCCATTTTTAATGATCTTGGATGACCATACCAGCCTTCAGAGTGTTCTCAGTCCTACTTCTGACTGTGACTTGAGGTGTGACCATGTTCATTATCATTTCAAAGGAGAAAAAAAAACTTGCAAAAAAGAGCAAAAACAACAAAAATTACAATCTTATTCTGAGCATTCCAGTAACTGTTTCGTGTGTGTATGTAGCTGTACTCTAAGGAGTTGGCTTGAATGCGCTGGTTAAAAAGACCAAAGATAAAAGGTTTCCTTTTCCTTTTTTGTCTATGAAGTTGCTGGTTATTTATTTATTTTTGGCTTGCTTAATGTATGTGTGAAACAGTGCTGTTCAACAATGAATCGGGATTTTGCTGAGTTCTACAAAAGCAAAGCAAAGATCAAAATGGATGTCATAGAGACCCTGAAACTTGCTGTTAATTGTAGAGTTGCTAAAGCAAATGGAAGAAAGGATGAAGTCAGAGGTGAATAGAAAATTTCAAAGGGTAGCTTGAGAAGACAAAGCCAAAGGTTACAAGGAAATGTGCAAAGACCTCTAGAATTAGAAAACGGAAAGGGGCAAACATGCTCAGCATGTGAAACTGAAATAACTCTAGAAAAAAATTCAAACCTTGAGTTGCAATCTTGAAAAATTAAATGGGCAAAATACTGAATGATTTAGGAAGCATTAAGATGGAAAGAATACATAGTCACCGTCCCGAAAATAACTGGTCGACATGTCTACCATTTCGGGAGGTAGCAATATGAGCAAGAAAGACCAATAGTGCTGCAGGAAGAAGTTTAACTGGCACTGAATGCATTAGCCAAAATCAAGGCTCCATGAATTGGTGGAATAGCAAGTGAAATGTTTCAGCAAGCTGATGAAGCACTGGAAGCACTGGACTCGTCTATGCCAGGACATTCGGTAGACAGCTCCTTGGCCAACTGATTGGAAGAGATGCCTGTTTGTGCCCATTCTAAAGAAAGCAACCCAACAGAAGGCTCCAACTACAGAATAATATCATGACATCACACACAAGTAAAATCATGCTGAAGATCATCTAACGAAGATCGCAGCAGAACATCGACAGGGAACTTCCAGAAGTTCAGGCTGGAATCAGTAGAGACAGGGAAAAAGAAATATCATGGCTGATGTCAGATGGATCTTGGCTCAAGGCAGAGAATACCAGAAAGATGTTTATGTGTTTTATTGAATATGTCAAGGCATTCAAGTATGTGGACCATAATAAACTGTGGATAACCTTGAGAAGAATGGGAATTCCAGAATACTTCGTTGTGCTCATGTGGAGCTTGTACATGGATCAAGAAGCAATTGTATACGGTTTAAAATCAGGAGAGGTGTGCATCGGGGTTGTATCCTCTGACCATACTTGTTCAATCTGTATGCTGAGCAAATCACCAGAGAAGCTGGCTTATAAGAGTGCGGCCTCATGATTGGAGGAAGGCATATTAACGATCAGCCATTTGTAGAAGACACAACCTTGCCTGCCCAAAGTGAGGAGGACTTGATGTATGTGCTGATGAAGATCAAGGGTTGCAGCCTTCACTATGCATTACAACTCAATGTACAGAAGATGAAAATCCTCCCAACTGGATTTATAAGTATCATCATGATAAATGGAGGAAAGGTTGAGGATTTCATCTTGCTTGGCCTCACCACTAAGGTTCAAGGAAGCAGCAGCCAAGAGATTAAAAGACAGGTCACATTCGGTAACTCTGGTGCACAGGACTTTTTTACCCAAGAGGAAGGATGTTACTTTGGGGACTACGGCGTGCCTGATGCAAGCCATGGTCTTTTCCATGGCCTCATGTGCACGTGAAAGCTGGACACTGAGTAAGGAAGACTGAAGAACGCTGCACTTGAACTCGGTGCTGGAGAAGTGCACTGGGAGCTACAAGAAGAGCGCAATCTGTTCTGCAAGAAGCGGGGCCAGAGGGCTCCTTAGAGGCAAAGACGGCAAGACTCCATCTTACGTACTTTGGACATGTTGTCAGGAGAGAGTCCCTGGAGAGTGACATCACACTTGGTAAAGTGGAGATGGACTGACACTGCTGCAACAATGGGCTCAGGCATAGGAACAAGCACGAGGCTGGCACAGGGCCAGGCAGTGTTTCCTTCTGCTGTGCACAGGGTCGTTATGGGTTGGAGTAAACTCGATGGCACCTAACCACCACCCTTTCTGACATACTACAAGCAAGGGAAGGGCATGTATTGCCCAGGTGACCGTGACGAAGCAGGAACCAGCAACCTTCAACTGTTCAGTGTAAGCACTTTGCTTCCTGATGAGGACAAGGATACGCACAGCACTGGAATCAGAATGGATTTTCAATGTCACCAGCAGCATCCGAGCTTATCAGTTTCTTCCACCCTTTGACACTTTAATAAACAACAGTCATTTTTTCCGTCTGTGGTTTCATTAGATATAAAAAGTCTCTCTTATTGTTTTCCGGATGACTTGCTGAAAAGACTCGTCCATGCTATTTTAGAAGTGGCAGCTGTGGTTCCTGAAGTCCCACCCTCGGCGGAAACTCATCAATTCCTTGAAAATACAAGCCGGTTTTATAAAAAGTTCTAGGCTCTCTGTGACTAACCAAGATCTTCTTCTATGTTCCCCTCAGTTCTAAGCAGAAGAACTGGGTTTTCCTCATTACTCCTGCCTATACCTCATAGAAGGCCAAGAAAGGCTTCAGGAAACAAAGTCAACGAATGTATTTATCTTCTTCCCTTTCCACTTAAGACCACCTTCTTCTTCCCCTGTTGGAATCACAGAGATGTCAGCGGCTTTCTACGCCTGGAAAGAGGTACAGTCTTGGGAACTCACAGGTCTTCCCTGTCCTATAGGGTCACTGTGAACTGACACTGACTCGAGAGTACTGAGTTAATTTTTTTATTTTAGGAAGCACAGAAACGTTAAGAAACCTGCTCAAGTAGGACATGGACCTAAGCAATTGGACTCTATAATCATGACAACATGCTTCATGCTTGGCCCAAACCTACTTTCTAGCTACATCACTTACCAATCCTTCCTGACTTCTAGGAAGCATTTTGCACATTATAACCCCAACCTCATCACTTTAGGGTCCATCTCCTGAATTGCTTTATTTAACACACATCTCTGCAACTATGTGTTTATGCCATGACTTTTCTTCAACTCTCCCACATTCAGTACAGTGTCCGACACACAGAGGAAACCCAAGAGGGAAGTGCTGAGGAAATAAACACACGTGTGCACACTCTCCATGCCCAGAGCTCACAGAGCAATGTACTCAAAATGCACCCCAAACTGCTTTTCTGACTGGCAATGATTCTGACTCCTGATCGTTTTTTTCCCCACGAAATCGTTTTTTAAAGACCTAGTTCAAACGAGAGAGAGAAAAACTGGGTAACGGGCCTAATTAAAATATCACTTCTTCTCTGTTGGCACCTCTACTCTGTCTGGAAGAATCAATCATTTCCTCCTCTGTGCTCTCAGGATTTCTCTAAACCTCTAGGCTAACCCTTGCAGAAATCGGTTCACACCAAGCCTGTAGATGAGGAGTCCTGTCAAGAGACTGTGCAGACAAGTGGCTCTCTCGGCAAACCCTTGTGGAATGGATGAACAAGGAAAAAAAGTTAAGGCACAGCATCTGTTCTTCTCATGAGGAGCAGCTGACCTATCATAAAATCCCCCGTGGCCTCGACATCACCTCAGAGGCTCGACGTGAAGAGCTTTCACAGTTACTTTTTCCGAGGCCACTGTCTTCCAAGGAACTTTGAGGAAGGAGGAAAGAGGGCTGAGGCAGAATGAAACTGGATCATCTGATGATTAATGAGGAGGAACTTGGTATCTCCGCAATGATAAGCAAATCTTTAAAGTGGATCTCGATTTAATATACCTGTCACAACATCTGTCTCAATCTTCCCTGGGAATGGATGTTTGTGTGGGAACACAGAGCGAAAAGCAAGCAGCCAGTCATGGTAGATGCACTATGATCGCAGCGCGTTCCTTCAGAGCTGCACCGCTGTTGGGGCTGCCAGAACACTGACCTGAGAAGCGCTTTGCTCTGCTCCCACACGTCCTGGTTCTCTTCTCTCGCCATGTGCTTGTCCAGGTTGCACACGTTGGGTTTCTGGGGATAGAACTTAAGGCATTGCTTCACCCAGTGCCACTGGTAACCCGGGAGGAAGGGGTTTGGGATAAAAATAAAGCCTATACAAAAGAGGTATGGGGACAAGGGGGAAAGTCTCCATCAGTCATGAATGTTTTTGGGTTAATATCCCTACATTTACTAATCTGTTACCACCCATCTCCTTTTGATCACACTTCAAGTAGACAGATGCAGTTGTAATGAACATGAGCTTGCTACCCTTGGTCACCTCATCGTGACTACTGTCTGTGAGCTGTGTGGCCACTGCAACCACTGTGCTCCAACCCAGCAGAAATGTGGGGTGGGTGGTGTCAGAGGGGGAGACAAGTCAGTCCCCGCCTCACAGGATGATGCTATGCTGTTTCCTGCGGCTTTGTGACATTAGAGGAGGTCAGACACTCCCACCCCCACCCCATGTTTGCAGCTCCAAGCAAAATCTGATGAATGCTAGTTCTGTTGGCACCAAGAAAACCCTTTACAACCAAGATTTTTATCCAAGAAACAACTGGAAACCTATTGGTAGATTCTATTATCTAGGCAGAAGACTATGGAATCATGTAGCAAAGGAGGAAAAAGAAATCCGTTGTGAACGGTTGATCACTAATGATGTCTAGAAGGTATACAAAGGATCAGCATTTCAGAAATTCACCTCAATGGTCACCTCGCTTATTCACACATCTGTTCTCAGCCATGTCCTCTAAAATGCCTTCAAAATGTAGCCCCATCCATCATTTGCATTTCATACATGGTGGAACAAAAGTTCTTATATAATTCCACTATCCACGTCTCTGTCACTCTCACCAGATTGGGTGGAGCTATGCAAAGAGGGTGAGTATAACACTAATAGAGGATTGGTCAGTTTCAGTTACCACCCTGCTGGCTAGAAGAATGAGCCATCTTTGAAGCAGGAGGAAAGACAAATCCCAGGACCACTGAAAGTGGAGCATGTTCCAGATCTCTGTTTGAAGTAGTCAAGGTCAAGGCCGGATACGCCAGAGGTTGTGGCATGGAGACCATGGGACAGACCAAAGGAGCCAGGCTGAGACCAGAGGCTGAGGCAAGGAGACCATGAGACAAAACAGAGGCGGAGCACTAAGACTATGTGACCGTGAGGCTGAGCAGTAAGTAGGCTGGCTTCCTTGTCCATGGAGGTAGAGTCCATGGGGCCACATGGCTGAGAAGCTAAGGGCTGGAGACAGACATAATGCTCTCTGATCCTGGTTTCTTGTAATTTACTCAGAGTCTTGTCTGTGAGCTGTGGGACAATGGCTGCCATTAGAATTGGGTGTCATGTGTGCCCTCTGCCTTGTGGCATTAGGAAAGCCAGACGGGGTGAGACACGGCCTCCTCGGCACGGTTTTCACGCACATCACACTAAAATCCTGCAAGTAATTTGGGAAAGTGACAAGACTGCTCATTGTTTTGACAATAAGGGTGTTAAAAATAAAATCCTCACTATCTGCTATCACCATTACACTGCAAAATAAAAGAACATTACAATACAACAAAAGAAAGATAAAAGGAATAATCCTGAGCTAGCCCAAGTTTGACTAGTGACAGGGAATTTGTTTTAGGGAGTACTTTTCAGACAATTGTTATATAATAAAATTCTGCCTTTTACTGCGTGAAAATATGCCTCTTTTTAGTCGCTACAGACTGGTCTTGGGTTCTGAATTCTAGAGTAGAATCAGTTTCAATTATCTTTGATAAATAATTAAGTTTTAAAACTAACAATTGATCACCCACTATGTACCAGTCCTAGCCACTTTCTAAGTTTCAGTGCAGTGAATTACTTCTATGTGGCTTCTAGTGGTTGCCTACGCCCTGGTGGCGCAGCAGTTAAGCACTTGACTAATGGAAATGGCGGCCACTCTAGCTGCTCTGTAGGACAAAGCTGTGGCAGTCTGCTTCTGCAAAGACCTACAGCCTGGGAAGCCTGTGGGGCAGTTTGACCTTTGTGAGTTGGACTTGACTCCCCAGCAAGTGGTTTAGTCATAATCTTTGTAACTTCCACTAGAGGAATAGGTGTGATTATGCAAATGAGGTGCTTATGCCCACCTTAGAGGATTGGAGAGCTCACGAATAATGTACATAAGGTGCATGGCACCCTTAGGGCTGTTGTTAGATGTCCTAGTCAGCTCCAGCTCACTGCAACTCTATGTCCAACCTGATGACAAACCGCCCGGCCTGCCCCATCCTCACCGGTGTTAGGTTCGAGCAGAGCTCTTCCCCAAACCCCCCCATCGTGAGGATGGCGTGGGTGCTGTGCAGTGACTGCAAAGAATCATCACACCCAACAGAGAAGGGGGGTGCGTAGGAGCGACAGTTCATGGAAGAGCTGTTGAAATGATGGCCCAAGGAGGTATGTCTGACCTCTGCCTCATAGCAATCAGCCGAGAGTGGCGGGTAATATCCTCCCCGCTGTGTGTGTGTGTGTGTGTGGGGGGGGCGGGCCCCCCCGTGAAATTAAGAGGTCAGAAGCCCCTAGGTCATGATTTTTACACACTTACTCACACACAATCCCCTTAAAAGATGGGAACTATTTCTATATGCATTGTAAACATGAGGAGACAGAAGCAAAGAGAGATAAGGAAACACGGCCAAGATCGCAGTTAGTAGAGAGAGCCAGGACACGAGCCCACCCTGCCCAGTGCAAGAACCCATACTGTAAGGGCTAGTCTACATTGCTTTTCCTTCTCAGGTATGAAAACGTCAAATTGTTGATGCTCTACTGCTCCCCCCTCGTTTCTGGCTTCCAGAACTATTTCCTTCTTGCTCACTTTCCTAAAGACAGACTGCAGGATTACTACATAAGTTCCTTCAGAAAAAGTAGGATTCGGAAGTAGACATAATCCTCCTGATGAAATAGGATTATGGGGACACTGCCACCCCCCAGGTTTGGACGTTATACTTACACATAATAGAGTTTACAATAGCAGAACACATAATCAATTCTCTCAGGACTCAACAGGGCACCAACTTGAATAGTGCGGCTTCAGCGCCAAATCCTAGACTCTCTAACATAGCGGTTCTCAACCTGTGGGTTGCGACCCCTTTGGGGGTTGAACGACCCTTTCACAGGGGCCCCCTGATTCATAACAGTAGCAAAATGAGTTATGAAGTAGCAATGAAAATAATGTTATGGTTGGGGGTCACCACAGCATGAGGAACTGTATGAAAGGATCGCGGCATGAGGAAGGTTGAGAACCACTGCTCTAACAGCATCCACACCAGTTTGGCCATTACAAAACCAAATTGGGGTTGCTACCTTTGGGACAGGTAGTTTGAACAATCTGGCAGGGCCAGAGCAGAGCAACAGAGCAACTCAGCTCTGAAAACAGAAGCTAGAGCTGAGAGCTAAACGGGCAGCTCTCAAGCACACACGCTGCCTCAGATTGCCGGTGATGCGCTTGTATCCAAAGTCGCACATAAAAGCCAGTATGCAATGGTCCCCTTTGAGAGTTCAGTGTAGAGCTAAAGCGCATGTTGTCCTTTTTAGGAAATATTCAAGCTGTTCCCCCAAATACCCCATCGCCTTCAAGTCTACTCTGACTCCTGGTGGCGCACCAGAGAAGAGTGGAACAGCTCAGCAGGGCTCCGAGACCCAGATCTCTTCAGAGGCAGCAGCTGCCACCTGTTACAGAGTGACTGACCTTTGAGGGAGCAGCAGAACACTTAACCACCATGCCACCCACTAAGCGGTTACACCTTCCCACATTATTAGCCAATCACATATCAGTGGTGGGGATATATTAGATGCTGTAACTGAAAGACCTGGCCCCAGTCCAAGCATTCAAATCAGTAGAATACAAACGAATATTTTTTGGAGAGAGTTTTCTTGCTTTCAACCATATTTGAAATCTCAAGTGTAACATTAGCTTTGTCTTTACCAACTAAGGCGTTTCCATGGTTTTTAAATAGGTCATAACAATTACTCTATAATGCCCCAATGATCTTAGGAAGGTTAGAAACATTACTCTTTTTGCTATTCTTGCTTTTACTAACCATAAAGTAACTACATATCATCAAAAATTCTATGTAGTTAGTCTTTTCTGACTTTTGATCTCGCCAACTGTAATCTTTTGAAATGCTTAACTTTGCTGACATTTTTCAAGTTGTTATGCCTTTGGGGGCTGTAGGCAGTTACGAATTATTCTAGCCTCTACCCTGGCTCTTCCGCCTTTACAGTTGTGGCAGGGAGCCTGGGGAATAAATACATCCTTAGTCTTGATTTGTTCCTGGCGTGCCCTTTCTACCATACCCGGCAGCTCTTGCTGACTCTTACTCAATCCTCTGGGAGCTGAGACAGAATTCAGCAGGGCTCGGGGAGTGGAGCTTCTATTGAGTTTTTCTCCTTTGTCTAGTTGCTGGCTCACAGCTCCCCCTCTGAACTCAGACGCACCGTTCTGGCATGACTTGCCCTTGTCCGAGCTGTGTGGAACTCACCAGGATAGCCTTCAAGTCCATAGGCGCGCCACGTGCTGACTGGCTGAAGACCAGCTCTGAGAGCATCACTCTCACTGACGGAGCATACACTCAGCTGAGACCTGACCACCTGATAGGAAGGAAACAGAAATCAGAGACTGCAGCTGTTTTATAGATCAACTCTGAGTTCTTCTAATCTCCACAGACGTTCCTGGGGCAAAGCTAAGAGTCAGAAGTTACAGGTGCTAGTCTGAGCTCCACTACGGACTAGGATTCAGGACCTTCGAGGAGGCCCTCTACCTCTCTCACAGCCTGCTTCCTCATCTACATATTAACAAACAGCATGGAGGTACATAAAACTAAGATACAAGGTCATGAGAAAATGTTTGCTCTACTAATTCAGTAGGCTGATTTGGGCCTTCAACAGTACCCCTTCCAGATGTCAGGCCTTCTCATAGGACTTGGGAGCACGGCAGGTGTCTGGTCCACACAGCAGTGCGGCTGACTTTGGTTCGGGCTGACAAGAGTGCTTTGGGGGCAGGTCCCTACAGTCAGTGCTTAGACAACAGAGCTGTGAGAACGCCCGGGAAGGGGTGGAAACTGCTACCAGATGAGAGAGGAAAGTTCAATAACTGTGGAGTCGTCTCCTTCTGCTCAAAGTACAATGTTCACTCCTTTAGACGACACTTCAAAGTGAGCTCAGAACCTCTGCCTTTAATTACTTCCAAGTATTTCAGAAACTGATGACGTCTACAAATACGAGGTTATAGAAGGTCCATTAAATCGATGAAGAGACCTAATATACTGTCATTAAAGTAATGACAATAAAAAAATTTAAGACTTCCTTGAATAACAGACTTCGTCTTGTTATTAGGTGTTGAGTCAGTTTTGTATAATAGAGGAAAACACTGCCGGCCTGGTGCATTCCTCACGATTGTTGTTATGCTTAAACACTGTAGCCACCGTGTCAATCCTTTTCGTCATCAGTAAGCACTACTTCAAATCCTCATTTTCAGCAAACTGCAGGTTGTTAATCCAGACAGGCCTCGGGAGAAGAGCAAGTCAAGAAAACCCTATGTTATGCAGTTCTTGGAACCATGAATTGGAATAAACTCCGCAGCAACTTTTTTTTTCTTTGTAATCTTAGGGAAGTAGATCTGGGTGAATTCTAACTGCCAACCCTTTTGGTTTGCAGTTAAACACAAACCCACTAAACTGAACCAAACCACGAAGCTTTTTATTCAAAAGTGTTTCTTCCCTTTGTTAAGCTATTAACCACAGCACAGAAATTAAAAATAAACATCATTAGACAGCTTGAGAAGGGCAGATAAGTCACGACCCAATGCTATTAAGAAATAACAATGAAAATAAATGTTACTGGACTGTAGGCCTGAAACAGGGCAGGTAAGTCACGATTCGGGCAGAAGACACCACCCCAGGTGTGGGAGGAAAATGCCTTACACCTACCACGGGCACATATGGGTAAGACGGATTTGCAATCAGTAGAACAAGCCCATGAGACACCACTCAGTCAAGCTTTCCCCTGCTCCTGACAGCTGTTGCTGTGTCGGGGTCGGAGGGTCTTAGCAGCAGGCCCTTGTGAGGGCTCTCGGCTCCGGGTGAAAACGCTGGCTAGCCTCTGCTTGGTAACTGCAAGTCCCCCTGACCAAGGGCTACCAGCCGCGGTCCCTCGCCGCCGACTTCCAGCTTGAGGTAGGCGTGCTGGTCTCTTGCGGGTGACGGTGAGCAATCGAGACTGTTCAGGCAGCCTCCTCCCCGCGCTGGAGGAAGGGCCATCCACCAGCAGACGCCAGAAACAACGGCCTTCCCGAGCAGGCGCGGGACCCTCCCGTGCGAGGCTGAGGGCGCGCCGGGCAAGGCCCGGGCCCGCGTCCGCGTCCGCCCAGGCTCGGGAGCGGACGCCCTCCCGCGGGAGGGGGTCTCCGGAGAGGGGTCGGCGGGCGGGTCTTCACCCTCATCCCTTAACCCGCATCGGCCTCCGGACAGCGGCGAACGAGGACGCGAATGGAGACCTCAGGCCGACAAAGCCGGCTCCCCGTCGCTGTGCACGGGGGGACCGGGAGGCGCGCGCCGCTCGCCCTCCGTACCTTGGGGGCCCCCGGGCCCGCACCCCGGGCCGTGTGGGCGGCCGAGAAGTCGATGACCCCTCCCAGGTCCGCCGTGCCGGGGCGGCTCTGCCGGTAGAAACGGAAGAGTTTCCTGAAGGCGTCCTCCCCCGGCTCTGCGGCCAGCGTCGCCGCCGAGCCCACGGCTGCCGCCATCTTCCCCATCTCGCCGCCGACCTTCTGCGGACCCGGAAGCAGACTCAGGCTCCGGCTGGCATCTCCTTCCGGGGTCGTGACCCACGGCTACCCAAAGTCCCGCGGTGTGAAGATGGCGGCCTCGGCGGCGAGGAGCGCCGCGGCCCTCCGGACGAGTCTCAGCCGCCCCATTGCGTTCGTCCGGAAAGTGCCGTGGACGGCGGCGTCGGGTGAGTGACGGGCGGGTGGGGGCGGCCCGGGGTCCTCAGACGCGCTGCTTCCCGCGCGCGCTTGACGTCCGCGGGGGACGCCGTAACCACGCCGCGGGCGGCCTTTGGGGACGCGAACGCTTGCCTTCCTACCGATCGAGGTGCTTTTTCCGCAAGACGTCTTCCAGAGGAATCATCCGGCTGATGGTTTAAGATGCAGGCATTCCCGCGTGACGCAAACGGTTAAGTTGCGCCGCTCGCCTAACGTAAGGTGACCAGATCTTAACATTGCTCAAGCGGGACACCATTGATGAAACTCATATCCTGGCGAAATAGCCACAAGGCAACCAAAAACCGGATACCCTAGCTTGTCGTGCACTCTTTCCAAAAATCGGGACTTGTTAAAAATGACTCGGGACGCGGGACAAATTGTTAAAAATCCGGACGTCTGGGGACGCCTCTTCCGAAGAGTCTGGCTTTCTTCCTGGGAGGAATTGTTGCGTGCTCGGATCAAAGAAGCCTTATTTTAAATGATTGAAGCCTTATTTTAAATATCATGCTTGCTAAGGCTGCTGTGGAAATGGTCAACAGGAACCTCTCTCCGGACTGCAGCCCCCTTTTCCCTGGCCAATTTTCTTTTCCATTATTCAGGGAGGGTAGCGTACAGAAAACAGAAGAAAAAGCAAGTTAAAACACATACATCGAGGTGGGAAGCGGGGGAGGAAAGGGAAAAATGAGTTGATATCAAGGCCTCAAGTAGCAAGCAGATGTTTTGAGAATGATGATGGCAACAAATGTACAAATGTGCTTGACACAATGGGTGCATGTATGGATTGTGATGAGTTGTATGAGCCCCCAATAAAATGATTTAAAAAAAACTATGCCTACAAATTAGGCAGAAAAGTACAAAACAAAAACCACATAATCACTAAGTGGTATTGACAGAAGTAAAACAAAAGTATATTTAAGTAAAGTTTCAGGCGTCTTGGCTTGTGATCCCATTTCGGGATTCCAGCTCTAGCTTGCCCTCCCCGGGGGAGGGAAATGAACACACCTGTCCCTGAGAGAAAGACTTAGAGCATCTCTTGATAGGGGAGAAGGATAGCTTAAACCAGAGTTGCACTGAGGGCACTTACAAACCGGCACTTCATACTGTTAAAACATGACCTCAGGCCAGGTGCAGGCCAGTTGGATGCGGGGCAGGGAGAATGCCCTCAGGGAAAAGTGTTCTTGGAAGAACATATCAGCCTGTGTGATCACGAGCGAGGTGTGAGGTGTCCCGAGTGTGAGGTGTCGGTGTCGAAGGTATCACTGAAGACAAATGGGTGCATAAGCAAATGTGGCGAAGAAAGCTGACGGTGCCCGGCTATCAAAAAGTATAGCGTCTGGGGTCTTATAGGCTTGAAGGTAATCAAGCGGCCATCAAGCTCAGAAGCAACAAAGCCCACAAGGAAGAATCACACCAGCCAGCCTATGGGATCACGAGGTGTTGAAGGGATCAGGTATAAGACATCATCAGAACAAAAAAATCTTACCATAGTGAATGATGGGGGGAGTGCAGAGTGGAGACCCAAAGCCCATTTGTAGGCCATTGAAGATCCCCTTGCAGAGGGGTTTCAGGGAGGAGACGAGCCAGTCAGGGTGCAGTGTAGCAACGATGAAAAATACAACTTACCTTTGGTTCCTAAATGCTTCCTCTCCACCCCCACTATCATGATCCGAATTCTACTTTGCAAAACTGGCTAGACCAGAGGATGTACACTGGTACAGATAGGAACTGGAAACACAGGGAATCCAGGGCAGACAATCCCTTCAGGACCAGTGGTGTGAGTGGTGAAACGGAGGGTAGAGGTAGAGTGGGTTGGAAAGAGGGAACCGAGTACAAGGAACTATATGTGACCCCTCCCTGGGGGACGGACAACAGAAAAGTGGGTGAAGGGAGATGTCGGATAGGGTAAGATATGACAAAATAATAATTTACAAATTATCAAGGGCGCATGAGGAAGAGGGAAGCGGGGAGGGAGGGGAAAAATGAGGACCTAATGCTAGGGGCTTAAGTGGAGAGGAAATGTTTTGAGAATGATGAGGGCAATGAATATACCAATGTGCTTTACACAATAGATGTATGTATGGATTGTGATAAGAGTTGTATGAGCCTCTAATAAAACGATTAAAAAAAAAGTGTTCTCGGACAGTTCTGCTTAAATGTGGTGATATGCTCTTGTCTATTTCAGAATCAGTCATTGAAAGCCGGACAGAGCACAGCTCTGTTTGAACTCACATGGGCTCACCCTGAGCCAGCATGTGACTCGAGCTTACAGTATAGTGGTGGGTTAGGGAGACTTGCAAATAACAAATGCAGGCCAGTACATATGTCACTGGAATAAATGGTAAGCTGTTCAGTGCAAGATTGGAGGTTTAAATCCACCACCTGCACTGCAGGAGAAAAATTGCCTGCTTCTTGGAAACGCTGTATAGGGTCACCAGGAATTGTAATCTGGCAATGGGTTTGAATTTGAGTGGTGGTGGGCTGGGTTCTCTAAAGAAGCAAATCCAGTGATGCTGATGCGTGTATGTAGAAAGATGTTTACGTACAGAAAAGGACGCTCAGGTGTGGAAGTGGCCAAGTCCAAGTCCAGGCACGTACCAAGTCTGTGGGTCACGTGTTAGGCGGGAGACTCCTGCCTTGTAGTGATGAATCAAGATCAGCAGGATGGAGACAGGCTGATGGCTGCAGAGGTGCAGGAATTCAAGTTTGGCATGTCAGATGGCATGCAACTGATGACTTCCTGAGGAGGCAGGATCCAGCTCAGCAGGAAGCAAGCAAACTTTCCGTAGTGTCTATTTATATAGGAAGTAGGCCACATCCCCCCAAGGAAACTTTTCAATTGCATCAGGGCTCCGCCCAGAGTAAGGGGCTTGCACTCCACCTAATCTCACAAGTGCTTGCCTGCTCACACAGGTCCTATCTCGGAGTTGATTGCATGATAGTAGGTCACATGGAGTACTACTAGGTCTTGACTGCCAAACCACTGAGAATCATGACCCAGCCAAGTGGACACAAAATTTAACTATTGAGGGGATATAAACAGGTATAAAATGTAAAGCAGTGAAAGTACAAGCACTGTAGGTGTTCAGAAGAGATCTGTTGTATTTTGCCTTTATGTTAAGGTAAAGTTATTTTAATAACTTCCAGGGTTTGGGCCTTGGTGGCATAATGGGTTATGTGTTGGGCTGTTAACTGCAAGGCCAGCATTTTGAAACGACCAGACTTTCTAGTCCTATACCGATTTATAGTCTCAGAAACCATGGGGACACTTTTACTCTGTCCTTTAGGGTCACTGTGAATTGGAATTGATCGGATGGCCGTGAATGAGTGAGACGGTCTAGTTAGGAGCGCAATAAAATAATGCCTGTTGTTGTTGTCAGGTACCATTGAGTCGGTTCTAACCCATAGCGACCCTATGCATAGCAGAGTGAAACACTGCACTGACCTGGGCCACCCTTAAGATTGTTCCTGTGCCTGAGCCCATTGTTGCAGCCACTGTGTCCGCCCATCTCAGTGAGGGCCTTCCTCTTTTCTGCTGCCCCTCCCCTTTGCTAAGCATGATGCCCTTCTCCAGGGACTAGTCTGTCTTTACAATATGTTATAAGACGAGTCTTGTCATCTTTGCTTTTAAGGGGCATTCTGGCCATACTAATTCCAAGACAAATTGGGTTGTCCCTTTACTGTTCCATGGTACTTTCAATGTTCTTCTCTAGCACCACAGTTCAAATGCATCTCTTCTGTTCTCCCTTAGTCCATGTCCAACTTTCACATCTGTGTGAGGCAATGGAAAATAACATGGCTGCCAATAAAATGGCTCAATAAATAATCTTTCCCTCTCCAAAAAATAAAAAAGGCAAGAAAAAGAAAATACCATGGCTTGGGTCAGGCACAGCTTAGTTCTCAAAACAACATCCTTGCTTTTCAATACTCTAAACAGGTCTTGCGCAGCAGGTTTACCTAATGCAGCACATCTTTTGATCTCTTGACTGCTGCTTCCATGAGCATTGATAATCCTTAGTGGCTGTATTTGGTTTGGGTTTCAAAGGATAGTTACAATTTAGGCAAGGGAGATAGGATTGTATATCAAAGAATGGAACAACTTATGTAAAGCTGGGAATCCACAAGGCAGTTACACAGCATTCAATCTGCTGTGTTGGAGAGCAACTGTAGGCTAGTAGTTGGAAATAAGGCAGGAAGGGGAGGGAGGGTCGACTCTGAAGATTTTATAGATTTAACCTTGTGTGTGCCCTTGGAGCTGTGAAAGGCCAGTTGGGATTTTACTTGGAGATCTTGAGTCTGATTAGCAATACATTTTATTGTAATTTTTATCTGTTTTCATTCTAGAGCCTTATCTTCTCACAGGTTCATAATACACACAGAGAACTAAACAAACCCCACTGCCATCAAGTCCTTTCTAACACAGTGACCCTCAGAAGCGTCCTGAGCCTTTACAGGAGCAGACAGCTGTGGAGCAGCACAGTATCTGGCTTTCCAAAGACTGTCAGTATTGCTGGGGCTGGAGACTGCAATTAAGCCAGCCAATAATATGTGTCTACCACTCCCTCCCTCCTCATGTCTGATACAGTGTCACATCAATGAGTGCCATGTTGTTATTTGTTGTCAAGTCGATTCTGATTTCTGGTGACCCTATGTGTGGAGACCCTATGGAGGCTTTGAGAAGCGGATCACCAGGCCTTTCTTCAGGGTGTGTTCCAAGGGTCAGCCTTCCAGCTAGTAATTGGCTGCTTTACCTTTTGCGAGGTGCTCACAGGCAGTGCCACAGTTGCTTCCTAAATCTTCAGGCTCCAAGGAAAGGCAGAATAGTCCCTAGGGTCAGGTGTTTGGGGACGCCAAGTTCCCTTTCAGTTTCTAGCTGCACTGTAGGCTGGAGAATACAACACACGTGAACACCTGGATATGCTTTCTCTCCCTACACAGGTGAATTGAAAGAACACTTCGCACAGTTTGGCCAGATCCGAAGGTGCACTCTGCCTTTTGTAAGTATTATCTCCGCTTTAATTCTCGACTTTAAAAAACAGACCAACTTATATTAATAAACAAAGCTGTCCAAAGTCCTCATTGATAAACGTATGGGTGTGCTGATTAAAACAGGAAAAGATGGATCATAGGTATTTGTATTTGTTGTTTATTGCTGTGTAACAAACCTCCACAAACACACCAGCTCTCTACTACTACAGACCGAGCTGTCTGTCTGTTTTTGCCACTTTGCTGTGTCCTTGCCTGAAGGTCTCACATCCTGCCGTCTAGGCGTCAGCTGGGGCTGTAGACACGGGAGAAGCTCTGCCTGGGCCCTCCAGTGTGCCTTCAGCTGGTGGGCAGAGCTCAACGCGCTGGCCATCTGCTGGGTGCTGTGCTCAATTTCTAGCTGCCGTCTGCATTTCTTCCCTACTTGGTCTCTTATGACCTGGCAGCGGACTTCTTCAGAACTGGCAAGGGAGTCTGTCCATCTCAGACAGCAACTTGTATAATGCAGCACAATCAGAAGAGTGGTAGTCCATCCTCTTTGCCTTATAATGTAATAGAGGGCACCTCATTCCACAACCCTCAGCATATTCGGTTGCTTTACAGCAAGTTGCACCCATTCAAAAAAGGGGGGCTGGGGGCCCATTTGGAATTCTGCATACTATAATGTTCTGATAGGATCTTAGGTAACAGAGGCTAGTCTTAGAAGTAACTGGCAGAGAATAATCTACTGTATGTACTTGTGTATAAGCTGAGTTTTTCAGCACATTTTTTATGCTGAAAAAGCCCCCCTTGGCTTATACTCAAGTTGGGTCCCACTTACGTTTCTTCAGTGCAGTGTGGGTGTTCTCCAGTCTCCCGCTCATCTGCGGGTGCTTGCAGCCTCTGGGTGGTCCGATGACTGCTGATATCACCGCTCTTCTTTTCTCCTGCTCTGGCTGCCTCTGTGTTGTCTGTGCTGTACCGGTCAAGAACCTGCCCGCTTCTGTGTGCTGGTACCTGGGCGCACCGCACCCTTGTAGGTGCATGTCGGCTGCGGCTGCACTTCCCCTGATCTTCTCCAGGGCTGTGACCAGTGATGTAGCCTTTACAGTCTTACCTGTGCTTGGTCACGCCCCCTTGCTCCGCCCAAGCATTGCTGAATACAAGTACCGGTATATCTCTGGTCTTGGATATACAGTATGTTTATTTACAGTACTTAGTCTGCTATATTTTATTTTTTTATTAGCCCCTATCTGGACCCAGTATTGACTCTTGCTTGCATAGAGCAGCCTGTGTTAGGCTCATAATATACATGCATTATGTACGCACTGTGTTACTGTGTGTGTTGCTTTAGCACTTCCCATACTTATGTGGTAACACTGCGTATGCAGTAACACAGCACATGCAGTAACACAGTGCATACACAACGCAGCATGTATTTTATGAGCCCTATCAGACTGCTCTATGGAAACAGTCATGTCATCACATTCTGGGATATCATAGGCCTCAAACTATACAAGTTGTGTTGTGTACATACGGTAAGGCAGCATATGTAGTAATGCAGTGCATGCAGTAACACAGCGTGTAGTTATTGATACCATATTTTTGTTGACCCTCTTTTCCACATACAGAGCTAGTTTGTTTTTCTTTGAAATAAATATTCAAAAACATTTAACCTGCTGGTTGATGCCTCAATGTAATTTTATTGGTTATCTATTTTTATTTTGAAATTTACCAGTAGCTGCTTCATTTCCCACCCTAGGCTTATATTCGGGTCATTAAGTTTCCCAGATTTTTGTGGTAAAATTAGGTGCCTCGGCTTATATTCGGGTTGGCTGATACTCGAGTATATACGGTAAATGGTTTCCTCACTAAGTTCAGTGCTAACTTAAGAGGTGGTAGTTTTTTGGGGGGTTGTTTGTGTGTGTATATTTTAATAAGACAGTGAATTGTTATATGTTAATTTACTTTGCTTTCTCATGAAGGTCTTGCTGTTGGGCTATACATTTCTCTTTTTCATGAACTGTAATTATCTGTGGGCTTTCTAGAATTTCTGGGCATTTTGGGGTGTGAGCACAGAGTTTACATGTAGTTCACATGCTCTATGCCACCGTTCTGCCACTTGTCTGTGTTTCTTCTCACTGTGGTGGCTTGTGTGTTGCTGGAAGCTATGTCAAACTAGTATTTGAAATAACCAGCAGGGTAACCCAACGTGATCAGGTTTCAGCAGAAATTCCAGACTAAAAACAGACTATAAATTAGAAGGAATAGCTACTTCAGAGAAATTAGCTACTGAAAACCTTATAGGCAGCATCAAAACATTGTCAGATACTGAAGTGCAATGAACAGAAGCAGAACATTGGCAGAGAGTGCCAGAAGATAAGCCCCTTTGGTCAGAAGACACTCAGTAAGACTGAGGGGGAGCTGTCTTTTATCAGAAGACATGGATGCAGTAAAGTTTGCGTGAGTAGTCTTCAAGACCTTCATTTGCTGATGGAGCACGACTCAAAATGAGAAGAAATAGCTGCAAAAATCTATTAATCAGAACCTGGAATGTACAGAGTATAAATCTAGAAAACTTGGTTGTCAAAAAGGAAACAATGCATCAAGATTGAAATTCTAGGCATTGGTGAGCCGGAATGGGCTGGTTTTGGCCATTTTAAATTAGGAAGTCATGTGGCTTACTATGCTGGGAACGACATGATTAAGAGGAATGGCATTGCAGCCATTATCAAAAAGGGCATTTCCAGATATCTTGAAGAACAGCCCTGTCTGTAATAGGTTATCTATTCAACTACAAGGAAATCCAGTCAGTGTAACTATTATCCAAATGTATGTACCAACCACCAAAGCTAGTGATGAACTTGAAGAATTCTACCAGCGTCTTTAGTTTGAAACATGCAATCAAGATATATTGTTAATTATTGGTGATTGGAATACAAAAGTTGGAAACAGGAAGGAACAGCACTTAGCAAGTATGGTCTTTACGATAGAAATGAAGCTGAAGAATGTTGCAAAACCAATGACGACTTCATCACAAATACCGTTTTTCAAGGTGACAGTACACATGGACTTCTCCAGATGGGACACAAGAAATTAAACTGAGCACTTTTGTGGGAAGAGACAATAGCTATGGTTCAGTGTCAGCAGCTAAAACCAGACCATGGACTGACTGGAACCAGACCATCAGTTGCTGATATGTAAGTTTAGCTTGAAGCAGAATAAAATTAAAACAAGTTCGTGAGAGCCAAAATACGACTTTGAGTGTGTCCCACCTGAATTTGAGAACATCTCAGGAATAGACTTGACGCATTGCACACAAATGACAAGACTTGATGAACTGTGGGATAACATCAAGAACATTCATGAGGAAAGCAAAAAAAGTCAGGAAAGAAAGAAAAGATCAAAGTGGATGTCAGAAGACTGAATCTTGCTCTTAATCGTAGAGTACCTAAAGCAAATGGAAGAAAGGATGAAGTCAAAGAGCTAAACGGAAAATTTCAAAGGGCAGCTCGAGAAAAAGTAAGATACTGCAATGAAATGTACAAAAACCTAAATTAGAAAATAAAAAACACGCTCAGTTTAGCTGAAACTGAAAGAATTCAAGAAAAAATTCAAGCCTCGAGCTGCAACATTGAAAGTTTCTGTGGGCAAATAGCAGGAAGCATCCACCATAGATGTAAAGAGTACAGTCACTGAGCCAAAAAGAATTAGTTGACATTCAACCATTTCAGTCTTGCAGAGTAGCCATGAGTTGGCATCCACTTGGTGGCACGTGGGGTAATGTTGGTGAAAGCACAGGGAGACTGGCACTCTATTTGCTGAGAGAAAGCACTGGCACTGGTGCTTTCGGTTCTGAAAGGTACTCTGGCAAAATCTATCTGTGTTAGGAATTTGCATTTGCTTTGATCTCGCAATTCCATTCTAGGATTTATCCTAAAGAAAGGCAAGGTCAAGTGTACTCAAAGTAGCACTGTTTAATAATGTCAACTAATTGCAATGAACCTAAAGGTTCATTAGTAGGATTTGTTATAAATCAATAAATCATTGATAAAATGGAATTCTATGCAGTTGAAGGATATGAAAAGTTTTTTTACGTTTTTTAAAAGGTGTTATTTCATAAGAAATAAAATAGGACCTGGAGTTAACAGAATACTGATTGTTGATAGAACTAACATGTAACAGGGAAAATGAGCTTCTATTAGCAAAACTAATTCTATTCAAATTAGAAATTCAAGTTCCTATCTTGAATACGTCTTTAACACAAAAATAAACTTCCGAAGGTCTTTTGCCATGGAAATGGTAGACCGAGTCTCGCACTGTTACTTTTGAAGTATGGGGACCAGGTCTCACTTTTTTTTTTTTGGTAAACAGTCTGACTTTGTAACAAGACTGGGAGGCCCCAGTGCTCATCTTGATCACCTGCATAGACATCTTGGCCAGTCTTTTGGGTAGTGGAGGCCGGGACCCGGGGCGGGCAGGCAGGGAGCGAGTTCAGTGGTGAGCCTCTTCTCCACACACTCAGATCGGAGGTTGTACGGCAAACACCCTGCCTCTGCACAGCGGGGCAGCATCATCGTGGTTTCACTTAAGTCTGGAATCAGGCAAATATGGGTAATCCCTTTGGTCTCTTTCCCTTTTTCATTAGGAACATTCGATGGCTGATCAACTGGCGATAGTGATTATGATCATTGGCCTCAGAAATGACTAGAAATGACTTTAGGGGTGGGTGGTGGTTTCTTACAAAAAAATCCCATTTACTGCTGTTTGCATCTAGAACACTCATTACCCATACTTTCTTTAGCGGCAGTGGAAAAGCAAGAGAGTCAATTTTGACACAGGGACTGAACCTGTGTTAAGTGGGACGGTGACTATGCACTAAATCCACCATTGGCATTAAAATGTCTATAGTCCCATTTTGGCTGATGAGAAACTTGGTAGCCCAAGGGGACTTTCTCAAACTCCTGTGCAACCTTTCCATTTTTGAATTTCCAGAACAGAGACACTGGCTTCCACAAAGGAATGGCGTGGATTGTGTTTTCTTCAGCGGAGGAGCTCCAGAATGCACTGCAGCAGGAAAATCACATCATTGATGGAGTAAAGGTCAGTCTTCTTCTGCCACACTCAGCTTTCTGTGCACCTTCTAAAGAAGGTGGATGAGGTGGTAGGAGGGGACTTTGGCCCGTTTGGGGCAGAAGCTGCCTGAACGTTTGTCCGGGAGTGGCGTGGAAGTGTCCAGCTATGAAAGGCTGAGGGAGGGAAGACCCTTCTATGAGTAACAAGGTACAGGGAACGTGGAAGAACCGTTAACTCCAAGTCACGGTGCAGTGCTTAATGCTCCCAAATGGTTAGATGTTCAGTTCAATGAAAGACAGGTGTGACCTGCTAATGTTAAAGATCTGCAGCTTTGGAAATCCTAGGGGGCAGGTCTATCCTGTCCTGTAGTTGTGAGTTGAGTGTGAGTAACATTGGTTTTAGTTTTGATTTACAAGTTTTTAAATGAAGGGAATTTTGTAAAACGAGTAATGTCCTCTTGAGTTCCAGTTGTAATGTTTTGTGTAGGAACAACCTTTCTTTACTGTACTTTCTTGGTATTTTTCAGCTCCAGGTTCAAGCTCAAAGACGGAAAGCTGTTCGAGGGGATCAAACATCTGACGAAGAGAAAGACTTTTGAGAATACCACTCCCTACTAGATAAAATAAATCAATGTAACCCAAATATTTCTTTAAATGTTTTTATTTGAAATGAAGAGTTGCACCAAGCAGTAACTCGCTTTCCCTCCCCCCCTCCACATAGAAATAGGACTGTAGGGGCAAACGCCCTTTAGGCACAGCAGCTCAATAGGTTGTGAACACTCTCCTGTGCACTGGGGTGAGGCTGGGTCACTTTAGTTATAAGCAGTCCTTCCACAACATACTGACCCCACACTACCGGTGAGACAAAAGGAAGTGGCCTTCATTCCGGTGCTGGGCAGCACGCTCTATAAAGGCTGAGGTGGGAGAAGCACAAACACAACCCACTCTTCACAAAATCTACCTAGTTCCCAGTAAGCCTTCGCACCCCCCTTTCTTCCGTAATAAAAAGTAGTGCTGGGGTCGATTTGGTTTTTCCACCCTGGCTCTAGACAAAGCATCCCCTCACGACCTGCGTCACTAGGGCTGGGGTCACAGTTCGTCCGTCGGGGCGGCCGGCTACTCCTTCCGCCGCTTCTTGCCCTCGTGCTCGTGCTCCTTGGGGCGGCTGCTGTCCGAGGGCCTTTTGGAGCCACCGTGCTGTTTGGCTTCTTCCAAGAACTTGTCCAAACCAAAAGGATCCTCCTCAAACTGCACCGGCCCTTCTCGGCCTCGCTGTCTTCGGTCTGAGCCAGAAAATTCCTTATCAGGAACAAACCTGGGGGAAAGAGAAACACCGATGGACGACCTAGTTTTTGCTCCTGTCAACATGGGAACCGAGCTCTCTGCCCTGGTACCTGTTGGTCTTGATTCTGGCTTCCAGGTCATCGCCATACATGTCCTTGTCCAGGTTTTTACTGGGCCTGTAAATACTCTGGGCCATGTCTTTCCCGCCTCTCCAAGCTTGATCATACACATTATAAATTTCATCTTCTCCACCTGCAAAACCACTGTCCATACCCTGTGGGAACCAGAAGACACTACAGTAAGATGTCTGCATTATGATTTAGTAAAAGTTGAATCTGATGACATTCACATGGAACATAGCCCTTTGCTCATGAAGAGCTCATACTTTCAACAATCTAAACTACTAACAAGGAACCAGCTAGTTTCATATATGCCACTGGCTTAATACAGGGATGTGCCTTTTTTAGCAAATACTTTATCCCACCCTTTAAATCAGTGGTTCTCAACCTTCCTAATGCCTCGACCCTTTAATAGTTTCTCATGTTGTAGTGACACCCCCAGCCATAAAATTCTCGTTGCTACTTCATAGCTGTAGTTTTGCTACTGTTATGAATCGGGAGACCCCTGTGAAATGGTCGTTCGTCCCCCAAAGGGGTCGTGACCCACAGGCTGGGAACTGCTTTAAATGATTGAAGCCTTTAAGAAATAAGTGTCGGACACACCGATGATGCCTCCTCGGTCCAGGCAGACCCCACCTGAGAAGCTGCTTTTGCAGACGTGGCCTACATGCTTTGGAGTCGAGACCATCCTGGTTTGAATCTTCGATCTGTCACCGACTATGGAAATGATATTACCACTTTGTGTGTCGATTTCCTAATCTATAATGAGGCAATAATAGTTTTACATAGTTTTTGTATGGATCAAATGAGATATCGGAAGTAAAAGCACCCAATGAGTCAGCCTTGTCTGTGTGTGTACATATGTATACATGCCTCTCGGGCACCGGCACATCTGTCTCATCTGGTGTTTTCTTTTATGCAATGCACATAATCAAATGCTGGGTGAATCAACATGCAAAGGACCTCTTTCAGGGTTCACCGGTCCTCATTAGTGACAACCAGCACTAGAAACTCAAATGCCCCAGACCAATAACTTCTTCCAAAAAGTATCTCAATTTACAGTTTTTAAATGTGAAAGGATGTTCTTTTTCTGTTACCAGGGGGGCTGTCATTTTGATTTGGACTCCTAGCATGCCCATGTGACCAGCAGAACCATGTGTCCACAGCAACAACCACCCCCCCCCTCCGTGTTCTCTTGACAGTACTATCAGAGTTGTGTAGGTTTGAACCACCAGCCTTTCATTCAGTGGGACATAAAACCCGAGATGCACCAAAACAACCCAAGAAGTACCATTCTAAGACAACTGACTCTGATTTTAAAAATAAACAAGACATGCATGAGAACCAAATTTTACTACCTAATTTCATGTTCTAGGGTCCCAAATCTCAGCCAGCCAACTGTCAAAGGGTAGCCGGCTGTTCTATCTTATTCGTTTCTTGAGTTATAACATGAGCTACACCCACTTTTCCTGGCAGCAGTCCAGCATACCTTAGGCTAATCTGATTCTGAGATGCTAAGTTGCTTTTCACTGAGGATGTGAATGCATATCCACACCTAAGAGCTGCTTCTAACCCTTGTGTACCTTGGATTGGTTGAAGAGCCTTTGGTCGTACTGAACGTCATTGGAGGTGCGAGGATTGGGCACACCAAGAGCAATGACTTCGCTGATATCACGATTCTCATTTCTCTGCAGCTTGGACCTGTTTAGAAATACATTACTCAATGAAAACACTCTTCCTTACAGACATGCTGAAGATTCCTCTTTAAATACAACGAACCTCAGAAGTGTCCCGGTGTTATGAACACCGTTCTCTGGTCAAGCATAACCAGGTTGGCAGCCTTACAGTGCTCCTGATCTGAGGCTATCAGAGGGTGGGGCCTACAATTCGGCCTTCCTGTTAGCGGTGGAGAACAGTCATGAAACCTGTGCTTGTTATGGAATCTTAACACCAGCAATCACAGCACTGGCTGAGAGGAAAGTACGTCCGTGATCTACCTCTACTGATATATCCGCAAGGGGGAGGGGGGTGACTGGAGGCAAATTCCACACATCCTATGAATCCTTTCCAATATGCTAGAATCCGTTTTTACCCAACTAAGTCTACTATCTTTATCTTATTAGGATTTCAAGGAAACATGTTGAAACTGGATTGCCCAGTCTGATTTTTGACATTCAGATTATTCTAATTCCCCCGCTGTTTGTGTGCACAATGGACTACAGTAGCTGTTGATGCTGTCAGCTTGGGTCTGAAAATGGCTTTGGCAGACGTGGCGATGTGCATTCAACTCTAAGTCTTCGGCTGCTCCGTGTCAGCCACTCTCACAGCCACAATACGGGTTTGAAGGCTTCCTTTGTCTGCAACTTATCATTAATACCACACTTTCACCCTTCCTTCCGATTTAATTTATAATGCACATTTACCCCAAACACTATGACGTGTACAGAAATGAATCACATCAATTAAAATAAAATACACCTGTAATGCTCTTTTCGCATTTAAGACTTGACTGGGGGGGGGGGGAGATAAACATTGTATCAGCCCATAGGATGATCAGAGGATGGGAAGGGCTATTGTGAAGATACTGTCTTATAATTGCATTTAGCCCCCACTCAGATTGCGACTTCCTAAAACTTCCACTTTTTAGCAATTTCATGTCCTCAGTCTCTGGGGAAGCACAACTTCCTTGCACGCTGCCTACTTTCTGTCCCCATTCACGTGTTCAGTTTGTTCCAGACGTGTTTGGACTAAGAGTACGCTGCATATTTCCTCTAATCATTACATATGATGGCTTGATCGTTCTGCATTTTACAGTGAACTGCTTCTAGGAGGGGGCTGATGTGCACTTCTTTGAACAGCTGCCTTTCTCCTCCTCTGTGCAAGGCAAAGGAGCTCAGGAAAGGTGAGGCCGCTATCTCCTGCCGAGGACAAGGCACATAATAAACTGGCCTCCTCATTTGAGGAAGGGAAAGAACAGACCAGAACACTCCCATCCACTGCTTCTTGTTCCCAAACATGACCTGAATTTCCCTTTCTAAATTCCGTCATGACTTCTGACTCCACGTGGTGATGGAAGAGAAGATCACTTGCAGGGCCAGTCCATTCTTCTGCTGAAACAAGTAGGTGAGCGCAGGAAACCTAGTGCTACTTAGGAAGTCGTCAACTTCAAGAGACAAAAGTGAAAAGGGGACTGACACCCTTTCTCAAAGATACAAAAAGGATGCTCCATTACTAGCGTGCGTTTCAAATGGCACCTACCTCTTGTCAGGAGCTGCCCGGGAAAGGTTCCGGTCGTGCTGCCTCTCCTTGCGCCTGTCGTGCCGGATTTCGTCCCTCTCCCGAGCCTCCCCGTCCTCTGTGTGGAGACAGGTGGAAGTTAGGGCGGCACTGTTCCACACATTTCACATTCTCAACAAGAAACAGCCATTCGCCTTCAAAAATTCTGCAAGCTTTTGATGGTGGTTGAATCCAATCTTTTAAAACCTTACTTGCAATTACTTTAAATCCAAGGGCATTCATTTTTTACCACGAGCTCTAGAATTAGGCACGCAACAGCTGGGGTTAGATGTAAAGCAAGCTGGAGGATTCAGCAACTGTGAAATGCACCAAACCAATCAGTGGAACTGGTCAGTGATAAAGCACATCTGCCAATATTAAATATGAAAATGTTAACTACAGAATCTAGACGTGGGGATATGTATGATTCAATATGTAGCTCTCTCCATTTTTCCTCTATTTAAAATTTCGTAATATAGTACCAGGAAGGGAAGAATTAGGCATAAGTTTACCCTTCTATTTTGAAAGGTGGTTACTGACTAAAAAAAACCATGCTTACGGTCCGTGGGGCTGGCTGCATGTGGACCTCACCAGTGTACTGTCTATGGTCACTTTCTCTATCTTGGCCCATGTGACAACGGACACACAACAGAGTTGTACTGAAGAGCAGGACCTCTGGTGCTGCTCCCCACATTCAGACCTGGGCTCTGCGAACTTGACGTATACCAAGCAGCTTCAGCCATGTATTTCTCCGTAATTCCCCAGGGCTGGGCTCCAGAAGTCCATAACCGACTGCCTGCTGGACCCCTTCACCTTAAACTGAACCTGCCACAGGGAAATTCCCAATCGCTCACTCCCAAGTCGGTTCTGGCAGCCTTCCCCATATTAGTAAATGGCAACTCAATTCTTCCCATAGCTCAGGCCAAAAGTTCTAGATGGATCGTTACCTCTTCTTTTTCTCACACCTCTCACCCAATGGTTTGAGCCAACTGTCAGCCCTGCCTCCAGAGCACATCCAGAATCTGAAGACATCCTCACTGCACCTTTTTTACTATCATTTCTATTTGGTTCAGTGCAAGAAACTTTCAGATGGCTTCCCTGCTTCTGCTCGTGTGCCCTGCCCCAGCCTTGTACTCTCCCCAGAGTAGGCCTTCCCTCCAGTCCTTCCTTGTCAGTGGGAACAACAGCTAGGCCTGTACAATGACCAAGAGGCCATGTACTAACAAGCACGTTAGTGGTCTCCTACTCATTCTTTCTCCCCTGCCCCAGCCACGTGGACCTGCTCTTCCTGTGTGGGGTGCTCTTCCCTCAGCTGCAAGGCTCCCCTCTTCAATTCTTTCATTTGTGGGGCTAACATTACCATCTCAGCAACACCAATTTTGACCATCTTGCCCCCTTTCTGACATTTTTATTCCCCCCATCTGCTGTATTTCCCCCCACTGTAATGGTCACTTTCTGAGGGGGCTTCAAAAAGTTCAAAGAACAATGGAATGAAAAGATAATGGAAATTTCCCACTAACTCCCCCCCCCCCCCCCAAGGGGAAGGAAATGTCATTGTTATTTTATTTATTTATTTATTTATTTTTTCCTTTTTAAACATTTTATTAGGGGCTCATACAACTGTTATCCCAATCCATACACACATCAATTGTGTAAAGCGCATTTGTACATCCATTGCCCTCATCATTCTCAAAACATTTCCTCTCCACTTAAGCCCCCGGCATTAGGTCCTAATTTTTCCCTTCCCTCCCCGCTCCCCCCCCACTAACTTTTTGAAGGCTCCTCATATACTACCTAATGACCTTTTTAATTTCTTTTGTCGGGTGTGGGGGTATCTCACTACATTCATGAGACTGCTTACTGCTAGGTCACCATCACCACCGCTCCGACTCCCTTCTAGCGGAAAACTTGTGTGTCTATAGGGGAACCCTGGGCATAATCAGGAAGTGAATAAACGGGACAAATCACTCTACTAGTTTAGGGTCTTTTAAAGAAACAAAGACCACTTTTACAAATGCCCTTACATTAGAATTTGGCTTTATCTTTCCACCCTAACAGAATAAATGCCCCAGGTGAAACCACTAAGTCAAGCTGGAGAGAAAGTGGGTGCCTGGGGAAGGACCAGAGGTGCATCGGTGTACAAGACAGAGTCACTCTGGGTTACTGTCTCATGTGGGGAGTTCAACTACGCAACTGGAGATATGGCTCTTTCTAAATTTCAACAATATTTTAAGTTTATCATCTGAGGACTCATGTGACTGCTCAGATCTTATAATCCCCCAATGGAGGCCTATGTGCAAGTACATAGCCCACTATGTGCTCTAGCTCAAGCAGGGTTACCCAGGGGTTTCCGGTTTACAGTGTTTCTGAGAACGTCTGGGTTTACCGTCTAAGCAATGATGACTTTCATATGCTGTGAGAAAACAATGATGATATTCTAACAAGTGAGCTATCTTGTCTATGTAAGAAAATCAATTGAGGAATGAGCTTGTCAAACCTTTTTCTACATGGGTTTTGATCCCTGCTCTCCTCTCCCTGGCTTTCTGGGCCATCTCTCGAAGTTTCTCTTCGTGCTTCTCCTTTTCTTTCTGAGCCATCTTTCTCTCTACTTGGGCACGCATTTCCACAGCCTCCCGAGCCTGTAAGACAAGCAAGAGGTTAATAAGCTAGGCAGGACATGATCTGGGATAAATATTTACAGCTCTGTCCACACCATATCACGAAAGTCAGGCTTAAGAGAATGACATACAGAGTTCAGACAAAGATCCTTGTCCACGAAGGACATCTTGCCCCAAAGTCATTGCCAACAGCCCTTTCACGACGGGAAACAGTTGCGGGATTAGCATTATTGTGACCCCGACCAATCTTAGAAGGTGCTTTCAACAAGGCATCCTCCCAACAATCTGAACATTAAGTAAGATTCTAGTAAAACAATTTTAAAGCAGTAACATTAATGAAGACGGCACATTTTCAAAAATGAGGAACTCAACTGAGCATAGATTCCTTAATCTCCATCTCCTAGAAATCATTTTTAGAAGGGCATTCACGGAGAAGGGAGCTACTACTCTGTGCTCCAAACACAAGATATGATGTATGTGAACTTGAAGGTCACATGCAAATAGACACCATAAAATGTAATACCCTTAATAATAATAGACAGCGATACCGTCAATGCCATTTTCTGTGACAGTCAATTTATCGGAATGTTTACTTGTGTTTCCTTGCTACTGCCCTGCTGGGTGGCGGACACACCTATATTTAAAGGAGACAGAAGCTATGAAATCCAGCACAGCAGCTACCATATCACCACAAAACGGGGCAGGCTCACTTACTGCCACTGACCCACAGTGGCCCCACAGGACAGAGGAGAACTGCCCCTTTGGATTGCCAAGGCTGTAAATCTTTACAAGTTCAGAAAGTCTCTTTTTCCTTGCAGAACAGCTGGTGGCGGCGGGGGGCGGGGAGGGACGTTGAATGGCTGATCCCAAGGTCTCACGGTTAGCAGCCCGACACATATCCCACCACGGCACCAGGGCTCCTTTGGGATTAGTCTAGTGATCCATTATTCTGGCCTGCTGGGAGGCAACAGCATCACCCTAAGTCAGTCTGGGTCTGCACAGACTGCAGCCAGCACCGGCCACCTTTGGCACACACACCTTAGGTTACCATCTGTCTATGTACACTCGGAATTCCTGCTACGTAAATTAAGTACCTTATGTAACCAGGAGTATTACTCAATGAAATAACACACCCACCTTTCGATCAGCAATGTAGAGGGCCTCAGCCAGCTTGGCAAAATTCTCATTGATGTGAACTGTCTGTAGTCCTCTTCCATCAGCAGCCAGACGCTTGTCCAGTGGAATTGTGTAACCCTGGTGTGAAAACACACGGAACAAAACAGTCACAGAAAGAGCTGCAAGACACTCATGACAATTAAAGATTTACAAATACTTTCAACCCAGTTAAAACGTTTGTTTTTCTTTACACTAAAAGCTTCATATGGATGCCTGTTCATCACTATGATCTCATTTAACCTTCACAGTAACCTTAAACAAGGAAAAATAATGAGGTTGTCAAGGATTTCATTTTACTCAGAGGCAAAATCAATGTCCAAGAAAGCAACACCTCCCCGCCCCTCAAAAAAAAAAAAAAAAAAATCAAATGATGCATTGCACTGGGCAAATCTGCTGCAAAAGAACTTGTGAGAAAAAAAAAAAAGAACTCATGAAAGTATTAAAAGGCAAAGATGTCATACTGCGGACTAAGGTGCAGAAGCCGATACTAAGACTCTATCCTGCATTACAGACTACAGCACAAACAGTTTTCATTGCCAGGAAGGCGCTATGTCATTTCTTCTGAAAAAGGGTGGGGTGGAAAGGCCAATCAGTTTGGGAACCTATGCTTTAGGTTCTCAACCTTCCTAATGCCTTTCATACAGTTCCTCATGTTGTGGTGACCCCCCCGCCCACCATAAAATTATTTTTGTTGCTACTTCCTAACTGTGATGTTGCTACTGTTTTATGAATCGGGAGACCCCTGTGAAAGGGTCGTTCAACTGCTGCTTTAGAGCAAGGAAAAGGCTCGAAGCCATTTCACAATTTAAAAGTGAAATTCAGCAAGTGAAGGTGCTTGTGATGAAGAATTTGTTGAGTGGAGGTTGGTTCAATCATTAAAGTGAGAGCAAATTTACATAACATTAAAGGGCAAGTAGGAGTTGCTCATAACATGGAGTCTTATAGTACCGTTAAATAAAAAAATAAAATCTTTATAAAAACACTCAGCTCAGGGACCTAGGCTGTGGCTTTTCTGGGTATCTCTGGGTAGGTTACAATACCAAGACACTGGTTTTACAGCAAATTAATTACCTTTGCATTCTTCCAGTTTGAAATACAAGGAGGAATCTTCCACTCTTGCTGTTCCTTTACGGTCATCTGAGGTGGACAAAGCGTGAAAGAAGACACTTGTGAAGACACGGCTAGTGTAAAGTCCATGCACAACTTCCCTTCAAAAGGCAGCTCAAGATACTCTGATATCTGGACAGACGCACATAATCACAGGCCGCAATTCCCTACTGTGGATTCTAGCAATAACTTTAACCTAATGTGAAAATGGAATATAATGCGGAAATTATTTTTGACAGTTATAAATACTAGCCACTGTATCTCCATATTTAAGGGGATGTGATTTCTTTCGGACGAAAACTGGTTGAGTAATAAAACAGACCTTAGAAAACCATTTAGATGATCAATAGGGACCTAATGAACCCGTGTACTCAAATCCTGTATCTTTGATCACATCCTTTATGGGTAAGAGCAGGCTTTGTTCATGCTATTAAAAGCAGGAGTTAAGTTAATAGCAAAACTAATAGCTAACCCTTTATGGACATTTTCATAAGCACTCTTCAAACTATAATTTACAGTCTTGACTGAGTCCCTGGATGATCTTGAGAAACACATTTAAAAACAGAAAAAGAAGTGGTGAAAGGCAGCTTACAGGCACCTAGATGATATTCTGCAGGTTGCTTACAAAATTAATCACTAGAGCGAAGATTACCTTTCGGCTAGGAGAATGCATGACCGGCGCAGGGGGAGAAGGTGGTCCCCGAGGAATTTTCTTATTAATCCTAAAGGACAAATTGAAGCACAACCAGAGAATGACTTACTCTCACCCCCATTAGTTAATAAGTCACATTGCCTCTTCTCAGTTTCTTTCAACACAAACAAAATCAGAGACACCTATCCCCTCAGCTGCGGCAACTATTAATACAAGGACAAGTAGTCACCACCTGCACTCACGCCACCTGCCTGAACACCACTATCATGTCATAGATGCAAATACTGAAAAACCAACAGATAAACACACACAGCTTTCATAAGGTATAACTGACATGCAACTAACCACACATATTTAAAAGGTATGTGGGAGCTTCAAAGAGTTGGTGGAAAATGGAACTAAAAAATAATGGAATCTTTCCACGAACTTCCTGGAGCCCCTGGTTCAAGTCAGTAATCTGCACATATGCAAACACCTACGAAACCATCAGTGCCATGCAGACTGAAATACCCACCACCCTCAAACGTTTCTGCAGTCACTAGCCCCCCTTTCTTGCTCTTCACATCTCCCTCACCCCCGCCTGCCACCATTCTCACAGGTGACAATGATCTACAGTCACTAAAGATCTCCTTGTACCGTCTGGAACGTTATATAAGCAGCATCATGCAGATGTATTCTCTTTCGTCTGTCTCCTTTGAGGCAGCATAATTATTGTGGGATTCAGTCATTATTGTATTGATATTTAAATCAATTCTTAAATAGTTACATTTATAGTACATGAATACTTTATTGCTTTTTACTGCCCAACAGCCCTCCATATGTGGATGTGCCACGCAGTGGTCACCCATTTACCTCCTGAGGGGTGTCTGGGCTTTCTGCTTTGGGGCTATTACAAAGAAACCTTTAGGACAAAGTCCATGATCATAAAGCACCTACTTACTTGAACCTTGGAGGTTCCATCGGATCTTTCTGCATTTCCACCATCCGAATAACTCTCTGTTTAGCTCCAGAGTTGAAGGCCACTCCTTGTTGAGATGGTGTGTACCTGAGGAGAAAAAAGTAGAGGTGTAACTAATTCAACAGATGTGATTATTTTCACAAAAATACCTCTCGCCCGCCACCTCTGTTTGCTAATTGCACCCTCCTCCCATGAAGTACTTTCATAAAGGTCCTGCTGATTAATAAAAGAAACAAAAACCCAACAGCAATATGTACAAAGAGCTGTCAGAGTGGCGCTGACAAAAACACCTTGCCAAGGACAGCATGGTTGACGAACAAATGAAGGAGGTGCATGGTGTTTGTGAGAAACACACTCTTTTCAGTATGTAGTTTCCCTACATACACTACATACATTTTCCACTCCTTTCACAAAAAATTAAAGAGAAAAATGAAACAAGTTTAAGCAGAGTAGCTAACACCAGAGATTAAGGGAACTAACAAATTGTACTACAAATAAGTTGTAAACTAGTGATAGTATTTTGCAAACCATCCATCTATGTTCATAATCTCATGTTCACGCTCAGTTTCATAGATAAAAAGGCCTAAAAAATAATCCTATGTTTAAAATTGCTTTTGAGAAAAAACACCCCATAATATTCCCAGCACACAACTGACAAATTAATAGTTTTTGACCAGCCACAGATTATAAAACAAGAGAATAATGTAGCAGAACTGCTAGCTCTGAATTTCCCTAATATCTGCACTTGAGCTATCCCTCTACACATTCAGTCGAGTGAGACCCTTCAAAAGTCAAAGTACCATCCAGATGACTACTATATGTAAACAAAAGATTAGAAATAATTGCGATTTGGGTCAAAGACAAGTAATGATTTCTAATGTAATAAAAAAAAAGTATTTGGAAAATAGGATAACATCTCAAAAGTGGCTATCTTAAAAAAAAAATCCACCTGCTTTCAATGATCTACAAAGCTAGCAGGCTCTGAGTCATGAATCAAGAAATATCACTCTAAGCCAGATCCCATTAAGTGCCCGGCATGGATCCGACCCCATGACCCTATAGAGCAGTGGTTCTCAACCTTCCTAATGACGCGAACCTTTCATGTTGTGGTGACCCCTAACCATAACGTTAGTTTCATTGCTACTTCATAACTGTCCTTTTGCTACCGTTATGAATCGGGCGACCTGTGGCAGGGCCGTCCAACCCCCAAAGGGGGAGAACCGCTGCTCTAGAGGCTTTCCAAGGGCACCAAGCCGTATGGGAGCAGATAGGGTCATCTTCTCCCTGGCTGCTCTCCCAACAGAGCCACCAGCCGGGTTTCCTTGATGCCTCAAGACAGTTAACTAATATTAGGCACCCCCGTGCCCCACTCCACTCTGAGCAGCCTGAACTGAAGCAAAGAAAGCCCGGCAAGATCCCTACCGGATATACTGGGCAGGAGCCAGTTTATCAGCTGCGCGGACAGGCATGGCTGCAGCAACCTTCTGTGACACCGATTTTTCTAAGGCTACTCTTGTCTTTTCTGTTATCTGAAATAGAAAAACCACAAGGGGGGGGGGGCTGGTTGAGAAGGATGTGAAAAGAGTGAACTAAAAGAATGATATACAAGGGGCTTCAAAAAACTCACGGGAAAATGGAGTCGAAAGATAATGGCATTTCCTCACAATTGAAAGCAAAATAACCCCCAAATTTATTAATTTGAAGTGAGTGACAGCTTTCACTCTTACACTCCTCCCAGTGTTCCTCCCCGTCTTCATTGTAGTTTGTTGAACGGTCTTATTGTGTATTGCTTTCCCCTTACTCAAGTTAACATGTGTCCATCCATTATCCAGTCATTTAACCCCGCTTCCCCTCCCACCCCTGGTCGCCATCAAAGAATGCTTCATTTAGTGTGAAAGCCTTTGTTGAGTTTGTACAATAACTGTACAATGAAGCCCTCATATTTTAATTTAAAAAATCATTTTATTGGGGGCTTATACAATCCATATACCCATCCATTGCATATTTTAATTTCCACCTACCTCTTTAATGGCTTCTTCATCGGGTCTTTGCAAGTCTGGGTCATCCGCATTCATAACTTCCTTGGGAACCAGGTCAGTGTACTTGCTATAAATGACCTAAAATGTTTAAATAAAAGCAGGCATAAGAAAAGTAAAGAATAATAACACAACCTCATTAAGTCATTTCAGAAGCTAGTATGTCCTCTCAGCACACTTGCCAATTTAGGACACTCAGATTTTGTCTGCTTTGTTTTAAGGACTCATCGACGAAAGCAAGGAAGCTTAAAATATAAACACAAATTGCTGCCCTGGCTATGAGAGTTAATAATTTTCCCTTGGTCCCATGCATTTAAATTATTTGAGATCTCCTAATCAAGTCAGTATATAAATAAATTGTGCCAACAAAATCTTATGCACCAGTGATCCCTATTTCTGAGGCTCACTAAGAATTGAATTTAATGATGACATAAACTGCCTATACTATCATTAGCTTGGATTAGAAGCTCATGAGAATTTAAGTCAGGTTGCCAAATAATTTCTAAATTCACTGGGCCTAGAAAATTTCATTGACCTCACCCTACTTAGAATGTCTCTCTTCTGGCACCAACTCTATTCACAGGCTGGGGAAATGAGCATGTGACACAGTCAAAAACCCAGGATACTTTCCTCTAGAAAAAACAAAACACATTCTCTGGATGCAACTTCTTTCGACTATATTGGGGCTTGCTATCTGATTTTTACCAGGCTAACCATGGTTTCTATTAGCTAACCGGGCCTTTGAAAAGCAGATTTCTTCCTTCCACGCCATCTTTGTATTGAACATTTAACAGTTGTCTAGCTATTGCTGCTACAGGCCAATTCTGGCACAAAGAAATGGCAGCTTCTGAGTTTGAGAAAAAAACCATATTCCTAAGCACTGGAGATCTGCAGAAGAAAATGGTTTATTACTATAAGCCAAAGTCTTTTTTCTCAAAATTGCACTTTGCCACCTGGCATTCCTTAAAGCAGTTTACAGGAATGAATACACACCCATTTTTCCACTTTACACTACAGAGAAAACACTTCATGCATCACCTGACTTTGTCTCTCCCTTCAGTCTCTTCTTGTACCTCTCCCCCTCAGTCCTCATGCTTCCGTCCCACGGGATTTTCTTTCTTGAACATGAGGGGATTTTCCTTGACCCTGGTGTTGTTTCCAGCTCAGGTGGCTCCTCAGTTTGTGAGTCTCAGATCAAAGGTCATAACCCCCTTCTTGTTCTTGTAGCCATTAAACAGAAGGAAATACTGCCGGGTCCTGCGCCAGCCACACAATCCAACCGTAGGCGTGAACCCATGGTTGCAGCCACTGTGTCAGTCAACACACCTCCCCTGAAGGTCTTCCTCCTTTTCTACTACTTTACGAAGCCTGGTGTCTTTCTCCTGGGACGGTCCCTCTGGTAGCAGGTCTGAAGCACGCTGAGATGAACTCCTGCCACCCTCCCTTCTAGGACCATTTTGGTTGTATTTCTTCCAGATTTGTTCGGCTTTCTGGTCGTCTAGTCTATTCAATAGTTTTGCCAAGACAGTATGCCAAAGGCATCAAATCTTTTTGGGTTTTTCCTACTCATTGTCCACCTTCTGCATGCACACGAGGCAATGGAAAATACCATGGCTTGGGTCAGGTGCATCTTAGTCCTTAAAGTGACATGTTCGCTTTACAATATTTTAAAGATCTTTGGCAACAGATGTGCCCAATGTAATGTGCTGTTTGCAGTAACTGTTAAACTAGTAACTGGTCATTGTTAAAGTAGTAATCCTCCCCACCCAATCATTTTGCCTCGTAGCACCCTATTTACAGTCTTTAAAGCATTGTTCGCCGTATAAAATTATTTATTTCCATGCCATCTTTATTCTGAATTACTTTACTAAGTATGGAAATTTTAACAAATAAACATTATTACCTGTTTCCCTAAGATTGATAATGATGTAAGTTATCATTGAATGAGTCCTTACTGTACTACTGTCCCTTTGACTTTTAGATATTAATCAGTGTATTCCTGTAAAACGAATAAAAGGAGGTTTGGCAGGGCAGTGGCCAGAGTACTCAGTTGCTAATGGAAAGGTTGGTGGGTCGAACCCACTAACTGGCCCGCAGTACAGAGATGTGGCAGTCGGCTTCTGTAAGGAGGACAGTCGTGGAAATCCGATGGGGAGTGCCACTCTGAGCCACAGCGCTGCTATGAGTCAGAATCTGCTAGACAGCAACAGGCTTGGATTTTTGGTTAAAAATAAATCAAAACAAATCCTTCCTAGAAGAAACACGATCAGACTGTTCCTTAGGAGATGACAAGACTTTGACTTGCTTACTTTGAACACATCACGAAGAAAGACTAATTGCTAGAAAAGAGTATCAGGGTGGGTAACGCAGAGAGCCATGTAAATGAGGTGGACTGACAACTATGCCTATCATAGCTCAAATACACTAACAATCAGGAAGACGGGGGTAGGGGTGGGGACTTTTCGTGAAGTTATACATAAAAGTCTGGGGCCCTGGTAGCGTAGTGGTTATGAGTAGGCCTGTAGTCCACAAGTCTAGCAGTTTGAAACCATCAACTGCTCTTCAGGAGAAAGATGGGGCTTTCCATTTTCGTACACAGTGACAGTCTTGGAAACTCCCAGGAGGCATTCTACCCTGGCCTATGGGGTCCTATGAGTCAGCACTGACTTGATGGCGGGGCGTTTGGGTTGGAGTTTGGTATACATAAAATTGTCAGGACTTCAATTCCAGGGATACTAGCAACAGTAGTGTCCCTGAGGTATGCACAATTACTGATGCACAATCTTTAGTTCACTAAACTAGCTCCAGACCCATAATAATGCCTGCTCTATAGGAGACACTTAATTTTTAAAATGTAAATGAATGGATCTTAGACATGCTCTAGTCCATGATAAAGATGTTATTTTGTGTGTGTTCTTTTAGGCCCTGCAAAGCTTTCTGTATTCCCGAAAAGGCCATGTCATCACTACCGGCTGAAATCTCAGAATGACAAGTACAGCTGATTTAACACAAAACACAAGCTATGTATATGTGAGCACTTGGTGCCATCTTCCTCGAAGACGGAGACTGAGACGCTCACTCCAACGAGGAGAGAAGAATGAGGCTCAGGGCATGACGGTCACACAGTGCACTAACAGGCCTCCCAAATCTTCCGGTAAGGATGGAAAAGTCCACATTATCACAACTTGAAAATAACGAACCACACTCTGGAAAATAATACAAGGACTAGGAAGGGTTAATCTCTTATACACAGCAATCATTACAGGATGGATTCCGAGTAAATGGCTCCCTGGTCGTCATACATGCTCACCATGAAGTCTCAATACTAATTTAGCATACAAGAGTCATTTGCGGCTGCTTATTTGGGTATTCGAAAGTTAATAACCCTTTAAATGAGCATCAATAAGATCCGAGCTTCTCACAAAGCTGAGTGAAGGGCATCTGAAGAGCAAGATCCTTCCTTGGTAATGAACTATAAACCCCCACATGTTCATTGCCCACCAACCAAACGTGCTGAGGAAACTCAGTGCGTTCAAGGAGGCAAAGCGTTTGGGGAGGGCTATCTGAAAAACGGAATACACATTTGAAGGCTTTAATAAGCGCAAAAATGAGCTAGGTGAATAAGATAAACCAGTAACTCAACTGCAAACAGATTACTTTCCTTATCACTAAAACCTGACAAAGAATGAGAAGGACTGCAAGAATAAGCCTGCCAACGTCGTTACTGTTTCTAAGGTAGAAGGAAAACACTCTTTTTAGGATGGCAAATTCATATAAACTCATAAATACAAAGTTTAAAAATTTGCGTTTGGTTTTATTTTTGAAAAGGGCACAGGAAAGGGTGGAGGGCATCTTTAAGGTAATACTGTCTGCAACATTTCCCAGGTCACTGTTTCAGAGGGAAACGCCTTTTATTTCAAGACTTCCCACTCAGGTCCCAGTGGGGGGTGGGGGGTGAGGAGGAGCATTTAGTTCTAATCAACGTTTACTCCAAAAATAACTTTTCTTTCCAACTTTATATTATCAGTAAGTCTTCCACATAGTATTTACTTTTCACATGTCAAGAGATCAATGGCCCCCGGCTTGCCCTAGAATATTCTCTCGGAATCTGGACTTAATGCTTCACCTCTCTGTTCTTTCATCGTTGTTTCCGGGAGAAAATACTAGTTTCTCAAATACAAGACCCCTCTGAAATAAATTAGAAATCTCTCTATCATAGTAAAAACCTCAATAACTCAGTTTATTGTCTTCATTCTTCAGGATATGACACTTTTATCAATTTCATTTTGTACTTTTAGTAGTCAAGTCCTATTTTGGTTTTTAGACAAGGGCACCAGTGGTTTCCCAACAAGGTGCCATCATGCCACCTCCAGCTCTCCACCTTTCCACCCACCCTCGGATTTTGTCAATGTTTGAGTTTGTTTCTGGTTAAGACACTGAAATGGCCAAGGCAGACGAAGGCATTACTGACATTTAACAAGTGTGAGTATCAGGTATGCTACACATGCAACAATACTCTAGAAAGTCAGGCAATCAAAAATGCCCTCTCAAGGCCAAGGACACATAGTGGGTGCTCAGTGGAAGCTGAATTACTAAATGTATTCCAAATGCCATGCATTAGTGCATGTACCAAAAAAAGATACATGAACCTGAGGAAATTATGAATATTAAAATCCCACCGAGGTAAGAAAAATAAATAGGTTATATGAGGGGGTTTCAAAGAGTTAATGGGAACAAAAATCCATTATCTTTTCATTTAATTTTTCCATTAACTTTTTAAAGGCAAGCTGGTAAACAACCAGTTATGTTCTAGTGTTTGAATCTTAAACAAACATGCCAAGTTTTCAGTCTCCAAATGAACAATGTTTAAAGACTCAATTTGATTAGAATACAGAAATCAAAAATAAACAACCTCATTCTAACCGTTTTAGTCTATTTTGATTTCAAAATGATTGATGATTGTTGAAGGAAAGAAAAAACCTTCAATTTCCCAGAAAGATAAAATTCTTGGTTTCCAAATGTGAAATATAGTACAAAAATGGGCTAAAACTGTATTTTAATCAAATTAACACAATCTGTATTTTAATAAAAAAATTTTTTAATCAATTAAAAATTTTTTAATCAAATTAACACAATCTGTCAGGGCCTAAAATGTTACTTGCTTCTAACCAATGGCAGACAACCGGCATGTATCAATAAAAACAACAGCTGAATCTCCCCAAAGGAGGGGAGATGTACCTCGACCAGGGCTGCTGGAGCCAAGTGGAGGCCCCTGCTCATAGACAACTGGCCAACACAAGTCCTTCCTACATGAGGAAGGATCTAGTGTCCCTTTGGCAGAGTTCATTATACTTCCCGCTGACTGTAATAGAAGGAATTTTTCCGTTTAACATTGAAAACCGCCATCCTTCACTCAGAGAACATTGACGAGTGTCTATGTTATTAGGTTGCGAGGCATTAACTTTTCTTCTCAGACAGAGTACATGCTGATGAAAAGAGGCAGACAGAATCCCTGTCCTGCAGGAGCTCACAGTCAGGTAATTCTGGTTAAGATACTGAAATGGCAGGGCAGACGGAAGGCATTACTGACACTTAACAAGTCATTCAACATTCAAGATACAGGTGAGCAGGTAATTCCAACGACAGGTGGTATGGCAGAGTAAATACAGGGAGCACTGAGCAGGAATACATAATCTAATCAAGGAGACAGAGGGTGACTGCCCTGGAATAATGAAAAGTGACCTTAGATTTGAAAGCAATACAGTTTAGTCGGACAAAGAATAAAGAGAGAAGCACACAGAAGTTCACAAAGTAAGAGAACATGCCCTATTATAGGAATGACAAGTAGTTCCTCATGGGAAGCGTTTCTGGGAGAGCTGAAAGATTTTTTCTTCTCTATCAGCTAGCTGTTATTATGTGCTGCAAGTAAATAGAACGGTTTTATTTTTGGATTTTTGTATTTGACCATGAATGCTGAGGTTAGAGAGGTAGGCAGGGGTTGAACGTGCCATAGGAGTTTGGTCCGTATTTCTGACCATAGAAAGCAGTGGAAACACTTGAAGTGGGCCACCAAGTGGGTAGTGCAGGGAAGGGGGTGGTGGTGGTGGTGGTGGGGGACGGACACACACACACACAAGGGGGTGGTGGTGGTGGGGGACGGACACACACACACACACACACCCTACCTAAAATCCCCCTCCCCCCCTCCACAGGGCAAGACTACGGCAAGATGGGTTCAGAGTCTGCTGCAGCAAATCAAGCAAGAACTGACAGGAGCTTGACCTAAGCAGGCAAGAAGGGAAGAGACCTGAGCAGCTACAGAGCTCAGTTAGCATCACGATGATGACGGAGTCCTCGGCAGGCCTGAGGAGGAGTGACGTGCTACCAAACCAAAGGCGTTTTAGGGAACACACCGGCAGTAGGTGTCACATGGAAACTCGACTATCCCTAACCCAACGAGGTCACTTCTAGGATTGTTTTATACAAATACTCATTAGGAAAAAGATGCATGCACCCGGATCTTGAATATTAAGTATTATTTGCCAGTAGTGAAAAACTGGAAATCACCAGTGCCATATTAGGGCACAACCACCATGGGATTCCATAGAGATTTAAAAAAATAAGGTTGACTTATATGGGGTCACAAAAATCTTCTACATACACTGTTAAGAAAAGTTGGTCAAAAGAAATCATGAATATTAAAACCTTATTTAGGTTGAAAAAAGTAAAAGATTCAAGGTGGGGCTTCAAAGAGTTCATGGAAAAATGGGATGGAAAGACACTGGAATTTTCCCAAGAACTTTTTGATGGCACCTGGTCTAAGTTTACGTGAGTATCTAACAGAAATATATATACACACAAATGTCTACAAAAAGAGAAAAGGGCAGTGAAGTGGGAGAAGCAGGTAGGCAATCTTAACTGTTACATATAGTATGGCCATGTGACCATCACACACACAAGTAATGGGCATAACATGTACAAAGGGGTGGCATGGTTTGTAGAAACACTGCAAGTGTGCAAATGTACGACAGGGCATGGAATCTACTATATATTGCTCTTACCGTTTAATAGATTACATGAATTACATGTGTAATTTTAAAACATGCATCAATAAAATTGAGGAATTTTTTTTAAAAAAAAGAATGGTGCCCAGGTTTTTGGCATCCCTGGAATTCACAGAAGATTAATTATATGGAAAAGAATTCATTTGACTTGGGGCAAACTGTCTAGACATATAGTGGACATATAGACAGTAAAACACAAGGACCTAAACCGCAGGAGCAAAAACTGAGACAGAGGCACAGCTCTGCCAGTGGTCAGCATGAGGCGCAGCTGACGCCATGGCAATAAAATCCTCAGTGAGCCTGTCTCAGCAGACTGGCCCAGGTGAGACCTGGGGAGAGAAGGGAAAGGGAGGTAGAGAAGAGGGCAAGGTCAGGAAACAACTCTTACAAGAAGCCCAACTGTAAAGTGAATGCAATCAGGTCTTGGCTGAGGAAGCCCGAAGGGTGGTCAGAGAACATTTTTTCCTTTTGAAAAATAGGAAAGGCAAGCACACTCAAATGCTCACCAGCGGAACTATTAGGGGAGGAGAGGAGATGCTGCCCAGGGCAGCATAACGAACAGACCAGGGCTGTGCGGAACAGGGAAGAGACACCAGTTAGGGAACCCGTGGTAAGATGAGGCTAAAATAGGAGGGATTTCCAATAGACAAAGGAAATGCCAAAGACAAGTGAAGGTAGGAAACTGACAAACTTCTTCCATCACATACAAACCCATGGGGAGCCACCTGCTAAGGCTGGGGGGACAGAAAGGAGGCGGCGGCCTTGGGGCCATTGAAAGGCTGAGGATCATGAAGGAGCTCACCTGTGCTGGAGCACCACACAAGCGTGAACACCTCATTTTTCCCCAGAAAGCTCAGCAGTCAGGATGTAGGAGCAAAAGATGGGCTCTCACTACAGTTACGTGAGGGAGTAAAAAGAAAAGGTTTGGGGGGCTGCAAGGAGCGGGAGAGGAAGGCCCAAAGGGAGATAGCAAAAACTCTCAAGTATTTCCCCAGCATCTCTAATACTGAAGAGATCTTGTATTTTATACGAAAAAATACAAAAACTAGATCTTCTTAAAAATTGTTTCCTGGCTGAGTGTAGCTGCCACACAGTTAAGATTATCTTAAGTAAATTTTATTTTGGGTCTTTGGGTTCCTTTCTAAGCATGGCCACCCTAAATCTATTTAATCATTGGCTAACGATGTCTGTGTGAATTATACCCAAAAGAACTATTAAAATAAGTATCCATGCAACTATTGAGTAAGTACATAAAAGAGAGAGAAAAGAGACTGTGACAAAGAATATGGACCCTTGGTGGTGCAGTGGTGATGCATTGAGCTGCGAGCCGCATGGCTGGCAGTTCAAAGCCACCAGCAGCTCCTTGGGAGAAAGACTTTTATAAAAAGTTACAGTCTCAGAAACCCACAGGGGTCGTTATGAGTCAGCATTGACTTGATGGTACTGAGAGTCTGGGTGACAAAGAATACTGTCAGAACACAGAAAATACCATGGACTGCCAGAGGACCAAGCACATCTGTCTTAGAGGAAGTCCAGACAGAATGCTCCGTGGGAGAGAGGATGAAGAGACTTCATCTCACATACCTTGGGCAGGATATGGAGAGAGCTTAGTTCCTAAAGAAGTATATGGAGCTTGGTAAAGTAAAGAGTTAGTGAAAAAGACCCTTAAGATGGATTGATACAATGGCTACAACAAAGGGCTCAAATACAACATTGTGAGGCTGGCAGAGGACCAGGAAATGTTTCATTCTACTGTATGCAGGGTCGTGAAGAGTTGGAACCCAATTGATGGCACCTAACAACAACAACCTGGCAACATTCCAGACCTTGGTGGCTCAGTGGTCAAGCGCAAAGTTGCTAGCTCAGAGAGGTTTGAGCCCGCCAGTCACTCCTTGGGAGAAAGCTGTGGCACCCCGCTCCTGTAGAGATTACAGCCGTGGAAGTCTTATGGGTACCTAAGTTGGAAGTGACTTGGGTTGGCTGGGTGGTTATGACAAAATTAAAAGCTGATTTTATAGCTGGGGGTGGGGGATTATAAATGTCTAAAAATGTGGCTAGCACTTTTTAGAATGCTGGTACTGTAAAACAATTGTTTTAAACATAAAACAAAGCAGCTAATACCTTAAGTGTATACTAGTGATTACAAATTTAAGAAATTCTTAAGGAAAAAGCCACTGCTGCTGTTCCTAAAGTTAACCCAAGTACACTTACAGCTACTTTCAATAGACATCAAATGGTAAGAGATTTCTCATTTCCACGCAGTATTTTAAAATTCCTCATGTAATAATTCTTAATGGGGACAGAGTAACCAGAGGTTTACCTTGTCTTTTGATTGCCCTTGTCGAGCAATTGCATCATACTTGATCTTCCCTTCAGCATCCACCTGAATGGCCAGTGCATTGGACATTTTTTTCTTTCGTCCCATCTCCAGGGGATACTGGGCCACATGGATCTCTGGAAAAGCACCTCCATCTCCAAAATCCTACAGATTAAAAAAAAAAGAAGAAGAAAGGTTAAAGGAACTTTTAATAGTAACTAGACATTCAAGATATATTCATTCATCCCACAAATTACTACTGAACTCTTACGTTAGGTGACAGAGCACAGTAATAAACAAGACAGGCCAATGAAATTGTGAGGGGCAAAGACATAACTGCACCTGTGGCTTGCAGTAGGTGCCACAAAGGCAGTACAGACACTGGGGAAGATGGCTTTCTTGGGACCCAGTTGGTAACCAATGGTTGAGGTAATCTAGGAGTTTAAGGCCTGAACGCTGAGAAGAGGCCAATCACAGGAAGGTCTGGGAGAAGTGTTTTCCAGGCAGATCCAACAGCAGTGTAAAGGTCTTGCAGCAAAACTGAGCTTGGTATGTTCCAGAAAAAGTGAGCTAAGTGGAGCTGAAGCTTCCTGAAAACAGAGCACAAGCAAGCTGACAAGCAAGGCAGTAAAGTCACCTGTAGAGAAAGGCTCCTGATTGTGCAGGGGCTTTGAGACTGTGTAGGACTCTGATTTCATATATACGGCTGGAAGACAATCAAAATACAGGGCAAAGATCCTAGTTTTAGCAGACAAAGTTTACTTAACAAGGGCAAGTCAAGGGACAGTTAGGATAGAAATGTGAGGACTTTTTTCTTGGAATTGAGTTTATTACCATGAAATTTGTATTCACTGTTAAATGGAAAGCAATGACAGAGTAGGAAGGGCGCAGGAATTGTTTACCCACAGCTGTATGACAGTTAGTTAGTTAGAAGGGTGCTAAAGTTTGTTAGTGATGTTTAATTAAAAAAAGGTAGCTACCAAACATGTAGGTATCAAGTATATTTTTAAAATGGCTATGTTAAATTTAGTAATATGCACTTCTTGCTTTTCTTGTGTGGAGTCAATTCTGACTCATCGTGCCCCAGTAACTAAGACAGTGTCGAACTGCCCCATAGGGGTTCCCAGGCTGGAATCTTTAAGGGAGCAGATCGCCCATATAATTTATAATAACTTGGGTAAGTAAAAAATCCTTGTTATGAGCCATAGGAACCTTTATTAAACAGAAGGATACTGTATCTCAACATAACCTCCATCTAGGTCAATAGTTCCTAAGGTGTGTAGTGCTGCCTCCTCGGGGGACACTGGGATGATTCAGGGGGGCTGCACAAGCAGATACTGACACTTTGTCCTGGATTATGGGCTACTGAAAAAAAGTTTGCAGTTTGCTCAGGGGGCACTGAGCAATTTTCTTTTCTGAAAAGGTGACGGCAGGCCAAGTTTGGGTCTTGATCTAGATACCTTTGAAGACAGTTGTCACAATCTCTCTAACCCTTCAATGAAGAGCCCAGAGCTCTTCAATTCAGAACATGCCAAAATGGCAGTTTGGGCATCATTATGGGATTCAATTTGTGTTGCTTTTCAATGGTCTTTTGGGTCTGGGGAACAAAAAGAAGTCTGAAGGGGCGAGTCTGTAGGTAGATGGGCTAAGGCTTCCCAACAAAATTCTAAGAGGACAGCCCTGGCTGCCCTTGAAGAATGAGCAGGTATACCATCATGGTGGGAAAAATTAATCAGCACAACTTGCCCTTTCAATTTTATGAAAATATTTTCGTAACAAGCCCTCGTGATCATCCAGTGTCTTATGAGAAAGACCTACCAGGAGGGAGTTGGATGAAACAATATACACATGAAAGTATCTTTGATCAGACATCTTCCTTAATGTAATATTGTATTTGGTCCAGGAAAACTAACCTAACACCCTCACTAGCTGAAGAGAGATCTGAAGCAGAAGAAAGCCGAAAGACAGCCCGATGTCGTGGCAATGGTGCTGCCCAGACCCGGGCCAGCGGCAGCGAGGTTGCTCTAAGCTGCAGGAGCTCTTGCATTGTAAGAAGCACATGTGGCTCTGTGCAGTCCTGAAGCTTGCCAGAAAATCACCACCTTTATTTTGAAAACTAGAATAAAATGCCTTCTTCAACAGAACACTCACTGCCCTCAAGACGCATTTAGAAAAAAAAAAAAAAGACGCATTTAGATTAGTGCACCTTTTTGCTTTTCACATAAACAGTTCGGTTCCATCAGGATAGATCCGCCCTTTCTTAGTCAAGGAGGGTTGTTAAAACTAATAGCAACTAAAGAAGTCCTGGTGGCACTATGGGTTGAGCTGCAACTGCAAAGTTAGTGGTTCCAGACCACCACACCGCTCTATAAGGAGAAAGATAAGGCTGTCTGCTACCGTAAATCCTTGGTCTCAAAAACGCTAGATAAGGCTGCTATCAGCAGCATCAATGACAGTGTTAGGGTAATCAGAAAGCTGAAGTGGAAGCAAGGATGAGCGCTGCATTGCATGCACACTGGGGCCTGCCATCCCCTCCCTGTATTCTATTCATGGGCCAGACTGAGAATATCTGAGATTCCTCCATTTCTCTACTAGGGGAGGCCACAGAAGAGGACACCCAAGCCTCTTCAGCGGTTTTCCATTGTGCTCTGTTTTCCACAGATTCTATGATCAGTGAAAAGGAAACAGCAGCAGCAAAAAAATTCCTCAATAATTGTAGTAAGAGTGGCCTTCTCACACTATAGCTAATGAAGGACCAGGAAAACTAAGAAAACCAACCAATAGCCCAGAGAACCTGCTCAGCTGACGTCGCTGACTTAGCTGCTCATCTTCTAGGACCTAGACAGTGTCCCAGGACACCACAAACACCAGGACACTTGAGAATGCAGAAATCTTCCTATGGGCTTCTCAGCAACATGCTCAGGCCAACAAATCGGAATCCGTAGTTCACCATATTCAAGCTGAGGGTATACGCGCTTCACAGTTTGTAAAGTAGCCATCAGAACTTTATAGACAGGACACAACGAAGAGAAACAATGAAATGACCAGGCACGAAAACGAGTGGCAGAGGCACTTAAAATACCTAACATGGCAGGCATAGTCCTTGGGATATGTCAAGGAAGAAAACTTGCAAGAGTCAGAATGAATTTTGGGACAGGGAGAGGCACAAAAGAAAGAGGAGCAGCTCTATGACAGAAAAGAAACTCAAGTCTTGAAGGTCTGCTTTTCTCCTTACCTAAGAAAGGTTACCAAACTTGGGGAAAGGAATACAAACTGAAGGTCAATTCCAGTACAGGATCCGAGTAGTTACGTGAGGTACCACCAAGGAAGATTGCTTTTTGGGAACAAAGATATAGGGGTGCTTCCAAAAGTTTGTGGAAAAAATCCTATTATCTTTTAATTCCTTTTCCCCTGAACCTTTTGAAGCTCCTACGTATAAGGATCATTCCAGCTTCGTCCTTTCCTCATTCCCCTAAACGACCCATTCAGCTATCTTATCTCTCTTCTACAATGTACTTAATCTGCACACCAGACACAGCCTGTTGTTCTATTAAGAGGCTAAGAGAGAAGGATTTGTCCAGGGTCACACAGAAAGCAGCAGCACAGCCAAAATCGGTTTTTCTTTTTCAAAAATCCACTAGTGCTCTTTCCACCATCCCCAGGAGAAAAGAAATCAGACAGGAAATGCGATAGGCTCTCCCTGGAGGACGGCGGTCGACTCAGGATGACGAGGCTAGGGGACCGGGAGCACAGGCTGGCATAAGAAAAGGCACGGGCTGCCGTGATGCTCCGGAGAGCTCACAGCAGTGCTACGCAGCAAAAGGAAAGCTAAATCTTCTGAGGGAACCTGTCTTGATGGGGGTGGGGGTGGGGCGTCACACCCAGAAATCCCCTCACATTGGCATTTATAAGCAGGAATGATCTAAGGTCTGGCTACAAGAAAATTCCGTACAACTAATGAACCCAAACTGAAGGCCCCCGTTTACCTCTAATAAGCGAGGTATCCAGCCTTTCCGGTAGCCGTACGGGGGAGGTTCCCTTCTGGAGGAGACTAGGGAGGTCTGCCGAGATCTCTGGGATCTTGCCTTTTCTTCAGCCTCAAGCTGGTCCTGAGACAGCTGGGTTGGGGCAGGTAAAAAGCTGTAAGGGAAGAAGACAATGAAAGGTGGAATTAAAACAAACAAGGTACAACACATTTAATGTGGTTCTCAAAGGACTGTGGATGGCAAAAAGGGGTAGCACTTGGCTGGCCTGGAGAGGTGAACAGCTCGTGGAGGGGAAGCCCTGCTTCAGTGAAGGTGACAGCCAAGAGCACTGCGGGGCAGTTCACTGCCACTTGGAGTCAGAAGTGACTTGATGGCATCCACCAGAGATAAATTCCCTGCAATGCATCCACCGAAACCAGGTCCGAACACAAAAGTCAGTGCCACGCTAACACAGAGGGTGGCCACATCAGACCACAAAATGGGTGATGGCAGCATTCCAGATCTGCCAAACCACTGAGAGCCACGGCCTAGCCACCTTGACACAGATCTTTAACCATCAAAGCATTACTCTTGCCAGGTGCCTTGGCATTCAGTACTGCCCCACGTATGTATTCAATGGGCAAAAAATAGAATTTTTACTGTTGTCATAAATGCAAATGTCAGATAAGGAGACAGAATTAGGTATACTTAATCTATTGAGCAAATCATTGTTTTTCTGATTTATAGAGTATTCAGCACCAATCTTTTTAGTATAGTTGGAAAGAAGCACATCCACTGAAACACTTGACTAGGAGGGAAGGCATATGTGTAGAATCCAGAATTGACACATAGTTCACATAACAGACAAACTACTTAGCTTACATGCTTCCTACCTTCTTTCAACAGTAAGTAAGCATGCTCAATTACCAGGAGCCCCTGTCCGGTATTTACAGTTTATCTATTTTACTCTTAAGCTCTTTACCGTCAACTTCTTTAGTGTTGAAACCAAAGAACAAAGATTAGATGTGACTGTAATAACAATAACAAAGGGATAAAAGAAATAAATCACAAGTTGCATATTTAAGTGATTTATCCCAAGGACATTCTAAACAGAAACTTAAGTCAAAGAGTCAAAGCTGAACTCCTAAAGACTTCACTGTTCTTTAATCAAGTGGCCTTTCAACTAAGCTGTCCTTGACAACAGTTTAAGTGGTTGTTACTATAGTGATACTCCAATGTATCACAAGAGCATTTCAGTAGACAAAATGTTTAAAGCAATAATACTTATAATTCCCTTGTGATTCTTAAGTAGTAAGCACATTTAAATAAGCCAAAGACCTTATTCCTTTATTCAAAAATATTTGTGGATCACAATATAGGGGGGTGCTGAAACTACAACCCTGAGGAAGACGTTTACAGTCAGTCTCTCAGGAAAGACAATCAAATCCCAGAAATCCTTGGTAACGAAGCCTATCACGTGTGAAGGGAAAAGGTGCACTAAGAGCAGGCACCAGAGGCATCAGCGGTCCGGGGTTATGGTAATGCAGTGGCTCTCAGAGGTCAGGGTTCAAAGCCCATGCCACTTGTCAAGCAAGTTACTTATCATTTGTGGAGTCCCCGTTCTCCTCTGTACAGACGGATCAGGCACAGGGTTAGCATAAGCACGGAATGAGAAAATCTGTGAACTAGTTGGCCAGATGCCTTTTCATCACTTGTTCCAGAAAGGTTTGGTTGTCTGGGGCTGTTCCATGATCCCTTAGTTGTAGTTGCCACTGTAAAACTCTCATCAGACCAAACCCAACCCAGGGCTGCTGATTCTGACTCATAGTGACCCTGTGTAAGGCAGAGGTTTCCCTATTTTATTTAATTTACGAAGATAATCACTTATTCACTTAACTGTTCTCTCACCGAAGGAAGCCTGGTGGTAGGGTAATTACGTGTTGGGCTGTTACATGCAAGGTCAGCAGTTCAAAACCACCAGCCACTCCAGGGGAGAAAGAAGCTTTCTACTCCCATAAAGAGTTAGTCTTGAAAACCCCCAGGGGCGGTTTTACCCAGTCCTGTAGGGTCCCTATCAGACAGAATTCCCTCGATGACAGTGAATTTCGTTTGAGTTATCCTCTCACTAAACTGTGAGCAACCTGAGGGCCTCTGATTCATGTCTCAGCTCAGTCCACCTTAGACCCGCCTTCTGACCACCCTAAATCAGCCCCGCTCCCACCTGGAGGCACTGTGCACCCCTTTGCCTTTATTTTTACTCCTAGCACTTATTACTGGAAACGGTATTGTTTACTCATGTATGGCCTGTTTCCCTTGCTAGAATGTAAGCTCCCTGAGGATGGGCGCGGGGTGTTGTTGCGCATTTCAATCCTGTAAACCAGCACTCGGGTAGAGCCTGGCACAGAGCAGAGCTTCAGGAACATTCACCAAGGAAATGAATGAATACAAAGACTCAAAAGTCTTGGGCTTCTGCTAACACACAGTAAACCACATGTAACTAAGACAAAAGAGTACAAAGATAAAGAATAACCCACCAGGGTTCCCAAGAGAAGCCAAGGGCCCTGACAATCCAGTAAACATAACAGGGCCTAGATCAGGGGTCCTCAAACTGCGGCCTGCCAAGGAAATTTATCCAGCCCCCCAGGTGTTTTTTTTTTTTTTTCCCCCAGGTGTTTTTTACTTCAAAATAAGATATGTGCAGTGTGCATAGGAATTTGCTCAATAGTTTTTTTTTTAAACTATAGTCCGGCCCTCCAACGGTCTGAGGGACAGTGAATTGGCCCCGTTTAAAAAGTTTGAGGACCCCTGGCCTAGATTATGGTAAGAACACACTCTAGTCTTCCAGAGGGTCTTAATTTTGTTGTTTTCTGAAAAGGGTACTTCCAACAAGTTGAACACTCCCATGGGAAGAAGGGACTCTGGCCTTCACAAACCAAACCCGATGTCCTGAAGTCTGTATGGCTCACAGTGACTCCCATGACAGAACAATAAGCCCGTGAGGGTTATGAGACTGCAGATTTTTATAAGAAGTTTCTTTCTCTTGTGGTGTGGCTAGTAGTTTCGAACTCCTAACCTCATGGTTATCAACCCAACTCATAACCCACTACACCACCTGGCCTTCAGATTAAAAACAGAACACACTGGCAACAAGTCAATGCCAACTTACGGTGACCTCAAAGGGCATGGAAGACATGACCCTGTGAGTTTCTAATACTGTAACTTTTTGTGGGAGTAGAGAGCTTCACTTTTCTCCCAAGGAGTGGCTGGTGGCTTGGAATTGCTGACCTTGTGGTCAGCAGCCCAACTTGTAACCATGACGCCAAGGCTCGAGATAGCACAGGCAGAATAGACTGCGGTGAGAGGCACAGCACTTAGACTTACAGTTCTCAACTAGTGCAACTTCACTTTCTAGGGGGATCTGTGGCAATTTCTAGGGACATATCTGATCGTCAATATTTGGTGGGGGAGGGCAGTGCTACTGGCATCTGGTGGATCACGGCCAAGGATGCTAACCACTCTACCATGCACTGGAAGCCCCGTACAACCACGTTACCAAGTCCAAAATGTCAGTAAGAAATCCTAGTTTGTGCTTTGCTCTGTATTAAAGAATGCATATTCATGCAAGTGACATTATTATATGCAGAGCTTCAGAACACCCACACAGAGAAAACCAGATCAGCTACAAGACTTCAAATCTTTAGAAACAAACACTAGCACCACCAAGACAAGCAAACGCATCATTATGGCAAGACTTGCGGGTAAGGTTCCTTGGCAGATCTTGGAGCTAATATCAACAACACCTCACCTGTAAACTTAAGACCAAAACTCAAGTGAGCTAGAATTAACCCAATACCATGGAGTCTTGGTGACCCAGTGGTTAAGTACTTGGCTGCTAACCGAAAGGTGGGCAGTTTGAAACCGCTAGTGGCTTCACGGGAGAAAAACAAAATCCACTGCCATGAACACAATTCCAGCTCACAGTGACACTATATAGGGTTTGAGATTGAAAATCTGTAAGGGAGCAGACAGCCTCATTCTTCTCCCAAACAGTGGCTCGAGGGTCTGAACCACTGCCTTTCTATTTCTCCCTTGGCAGCCCAGTGCTTATCCCTCAGCACCACGAGGGGAAACACGACAGGCCATTCTGCTTTGTCACATGGGCTCACTCGGAGTTGGAATAGACTAGAGGGCCCACAGCAAAAAGTCAACAAAATCAGACAGCTATGTAGTCCCCAAGAAGAGCCACTTTTACATCACACCAAGTCACCAAATAAGCACCCAATATTGATGGCGTTTCTGGTATTTTTCCTGTATGCCCATTTCCAATTCCACCTTTCCCCCAAACCCTTCCTTCCCTCCTAGTTCAGTAGCCTTTATCACAGTGCCTCGCATGGGGAAGGCACTGAATTGCCTACGTCACTTACTAAGGAAAGCTCTTTTATTCCACTGACTCTTCACACTCGTGACTTATGTAATTCTTCAACTGTGCATGCACATCCCCGTGCCTGGATCCCCAATGCCCTGGCAGCCGGGGAAAGTAAGATTTCCTTCCAAATACACCACAACCCTTAGGGTGGGGCAAGCCACCCTCCTGCAGCAGTGATCAAAGGAATGATCTGGTCAAAACAGCTTTCGGATCCACTATTGTCCTCTGCCAGGAGAAAAAGACATGTGAGAATTAGAAGGTGTGCTCAGGGAGCCCAAGTCGATGTCTGAACATCGTTATCTTCCTTACAACCTTCTTTGATGCGGGCTCATCCTCTTGGGTTCCCATGGAAGTTTTCCTACTTATATGGGTCAGCGAGGTCGCTAACTAGTAGCGGTTACGTAACTTCTTGGGCTCGCCCACTCGGACGGAGCATCTCAACACATCCTTTTCTTAAAGGCAGGGAGTCTTTTACATACGGTTACCAAGGCAACCGGGAACATAAAAAATCGGAAGTGATTCCATCTGGGGAAGAAATTCTGAAGTCCAAAGCGAAAGCGGGGAGCAGCGGCGCAAGTTAGTGGACAGCAGAGGCTGCTCGAAAAAAAATCCCCCTTTCCTTCCGGGCTTGGGGGCGTCCTTGCTTCGGGAAAGGGAGTGGACAGAAAGGCGCGGGGCCTCGACGGGCTCGGGCCGGGAAGGCGGTGTCGTCGCTTCCCTTGGCTTCCACTCAGCCGAGACCCATCAGCCGCTGCCGTGCGAACACCGCCATCTCTGGCCCCCGCGCCGCCGAGTCGGGCTCCACACCCCCCAAGACGCTCCAGTGAAGTCCACGTGCGACTCGGCACCGGGAGAAGAAAACCATTCGCCACGTCACGGCTCTGGACGCTGCGAAGAGGCGATCGCACCCGGGAGAGCTCGGGAAAGACCGCAGCTTCGGCGAGGCCTAGTCGCCGCCGCGGCCGGCGGAGGACCCAGCCTTGACCTTGGAGCACGTCGCTCTCCCCCCGGGGCCGGGTCCTCGCCCGGAAAGTGTAGACAAAGAAAGGATAAAGATGAGTATTCAAAGAAACCTTCCGTATCGAGGAACGGAATCAACAACCCACCTGGTGAGCGCCATCTTCTTCCGCTTCTTCCAGCGCGAGCAACGGCGCCGCGAGGCGGAGCTTTCTTGGCGAAGAGGCGGGGAAAGAAAGAAACACGTAGTGCGCAGCGGCGCTCGCCGAAAGGCCCTCTGGGACTTGTAGTTCTTTGATCCGGAGTACAATTCCGTTCTGTTCCAACCCGTCTAAGCAATTACTATCCTAAGGGAATCGCTTGTTTAATAAGAAAAGTAAAAATTTTACTGTACTCTATGGTGTGGTAGGATATTTCCAAAGCAAAATAACCAGGTTAGAGGACGATACCTTTAAGTCGTTTCCCCCGCCCTCCTACTCAGTCTGGGTCCCCTATTGTTAATTGTCGATTCAGACTCATAGGGACTTTACAAGACATTGCGTTTCCCGGGCTGGGAAGGGGCCCTGGTGGCGCCGTGGTTAAGCGCTGGGAGGGGAATCAGAAGGTTGGAGGTTCAACCCTCGCGCGCTTGGAGAGAGTCAGCTTGTGCAGAGCTAGCAGCCTGGGAAACCCCGCGGTGCGGTTTCACATGTCACTCGTGGGCTTGGGTGGGAAACCCCGCGGGGCGGTTTCACGTGTCACTCGTGAGTTTTGGGGGGGGGAAACCCCGCGGGGAAGTTTCACGTGTCACTCGTGGGTCTGGTTGGGTAATCACGACAGAAGCTGATTTGCACACCTTCCTCCTGAGGAGCAGTAGGTGGGTCGAATGTCTTGACCTAAAGAGGGTGAGTAGCAAAATGATTAACCACTGGGCCACCAGGGTAGCAGAGTCCCAAACACAAATGCATTCAGGGGATCCAGATCCAATGCCATTTAGTCTACTCTGACTCATCGTTCCAAGGCGGTAAGTCTTTATGGGAGTAGAGAGCCTCGTCGTTCTCCTGAGGAGTAAGAGGGTGGGTTTGAACCGCCAGGGTAGCTGTCCAATGCTCATCTGACAGCGCCCCAAGGGTCACTCAAAACTCACCGCCCTGGAGTGAGTCGGTTCCTACTCCTAGTGATGATCGCTCTGCACCGTACAACGACCCACGTGGGGTTTGAGGCTATAAATCCGCGGTTCTCAACCTGTGGGTCACGACCCCTTTGGGGGTCGTCAAACGACCCTTTCACAGGGGTTGCCTGATTCGTAACAGTAGCAAAATGGCAGTGATGAAGTAGCAACGAAAATAATTGTATGGTTGGGGGGTCACCACAGCATGAGAACTGTATGAAAGGGTCGTGGCATGAGGAAGGTTGAGAAGCACTGCTATAAATGGTCTGGACACAAAGTCTCTTCTTTTTTCCTCTGAGAGGCCTGTGCTTTCAAACTGCTGACCTTGAGGTTAGCAGCCCACCTGGAAACCCACTATACCATCGGGTAGCAGGGCTTGACAATAAGAAGTCAGTGACCCATTGAATGGAGAATTCTTGGACATTTTGAAAACATTCACAGTCAAAACTTTGTTCTCACATTGCTACCCCTACCCCCCAACACACACATACAGAACACTGTCAGGGAAACGTATTGTGTGATCTTTAGTAAATTACCTTTTGAAAACTCCTGATATCTACCATATGTTTGCATATTCTTTAGGCTTACAGAGATTATAAATTATTAATGAAATGGTAGTATCGATGAAACCTACTTAGAAATATTAGGAGAGGGAAGTGGGTAGAGCATAGATGAAATAAGATTAGCCATGAGATTTTGATTATGGTTGAAACTTATGAGTTTTGCATATATCTGAAAATGCCTGCATATAGACAGCACAGTATTTACATTGTTTGTGTGCAATTCTTTAGATTATTCCCAAACCAAATACATCAGTGTGAACGGCCCCAGAAGCTTCCTTCATCCTTCACACACGCTCACTCACTCACTCCCTCATCCACCCACCCACTTATCCTTTATACTCACTCACTCACCCACTCACTCACTCACTCACTCACTCACTCACCCACTCACTCACTCACTCACTCAC